ATCATCCCTGTTGTTTGGTTCATGGGGCACGGGGCACTCCGTGTCCTGCTTCCCCGATGTTGATGCAGCAGCCACCCTTGGGAGCTAGTGTGTGTTTCTGAATCTCAGTGTGCCGTTAGACTCGAAGCCCGGTTTCCGGATAAAACAGGGCGTCAGCTATGAGTTGTGGTATTAAATCCCCACCACCACCACCACCATATATGTTCCAGGATATGACCTGAAGGCACATAAAGCACTCAGTTGAAGCTAAGTGGATCCGGGTGTGGGAGCCAATGCTCCCTCTAAGGTGTGGAGTCCTGTGAGCAGAAATCCTACTTTGTGAGCTACTGGCACTAAAGTGAGCGAGCGATTTGGCTGCTGCATAAATTAGTTTGCTCTGGAGCCCTCCTTCCTGAGCGAAGACAAAAATGTGTGAGCCTGAGGCTAAGAAACTGTGAGCTGGCTCACACTAACTCAGCTTAGAGGGAACACTGGTGGGAGCCCATAAGAGCCTAGTTCGGTGGCCGGTTCAACACAGGGCTAAACTAGATGTGACTGAGTCCTTGTGGCCACCGTGAGGCCAGTGCTGTCATTTCATACTGCAAGGGCCTCATCCTGAATGGTTCGCAGCACAGAGCTCTTCTACCCCCCACCCGTGCCTTTTAAAATACAGGAACTTGGGGGGGGTGGAATACGGCAGTTTTGGCTCTTTATAAGATGCGGACGGGGAAAACAAGAGTGCCTCAGCCTGCTGTACCGCTGGCCTGATCAGGATTGTGCCCTTGTAGCATTTTTAAATGACTTTACAATGGTGGCAGGGTCCTTGTGGGCGGCTGTTCCATCTAGCTTGGTCTGTCGTGGCCAGCTAGATAAGAAGAAGAAGAAGAGGAGGAGGAGATTGGATTTATCCCCCGCCCTTCACTACCCAAAGGAGTCTCAGAGCGGCTTACAAACTCCTTTCCCTTCCCCCTCCCCACCACAGACACCCTGTGAGGTGGGTGGGGCTGAGAGAGCTCTCTCGAGGACTGCTCCTGAGAGACCAGCTCTGACAGAACTTGTGACTGACCCAAGGTCACACCAGCATCTGCATGTGGAGAAGCGGCGAATCAACCCCGGTTCTCCCCGATCAGAGTCCGCGCTTCTAACCACGACACTGAAGTGGCCTGTAAGCCAGGCACAGAAGCCAGGCTCTCCCCGTTGTGGCCTCCCAGCACTGACATTCGGAGGGTTTCTGCCTCTAACCACGAAGGTCCTGTCAATAGTCATATGGTTTTAAGACTATTTAAATTATTTATTGTTGTCTTTTACTTGTTCTTTAGGCCGCCCTAAAGCGGCCTTGGCTGGGAGGGCGGGGTATAAATTTGATAATAAATAAAATAAAATAAAGAATTTTATTGTTACGGCGCTTAGCCAGCAATATAAAACCATAGGAATAAAAATAAATTACAATGGCCTAATAGTAAAATTTCCAAAATGCAACTAGGTACTAAAAAATAACATTGTACAATCATTTTGGTCACTAAAACCAGACTTAAAATTACACTGCAATAAAACACGGTAAAAGGAAATAAACTAAGATGATTTGGGAACAGTAAAAGTTAAAATCAAATAGTCCTAACCTGAGTGACAACCAGGGCACTGATTGAGCTTTTACAACCAAGGAGCAAAATTTCGCAATCTGATGGAGCGCTGTATGTTCAAGGTTAAAAAACAAGTTCTCCATCTTATCCTGATCAGAAGTGCCTGCCAAAAAAGGCTCAATGAGTTTTGTGCGCGCCTCTTCAAATAACGGGCACCTTAAGAATACATGCTCCTGAGATTCGATCTCCCCCAACGCGCACATACATAACCTCTCTGTTCGGGGTAATTTTTTAAATTTGCCCTCAAGAACTGCAGAAGGTAAGGCAGAGCATCTAGCCAAAGTGTAAGCCCTTCTGAGTTTGCGGGACTCCAGAACATCTAAATATGGGGCCTGCACAACAATGTATTTATTACTAGTTGGCGCTATAAAAGTTGGAGACACCTGTAGATCTAGTTGGCGTTCGGTGTCCTTGATCCTCTGCTTAATTTCTAACTTAGCTCGGTCACCACCCATTTCCAAAAGCGCTTGAGGAGAATACCCCAAGAGTGAAATTTTTCGCTTAACAGCGACCAGCCATTCAGATTCAAAGGGATCAGTCAGAATCAGAGGCACTAGTCCACACGGATTTAAATTTATCTTCAACCAATAGAAGATGGAGTGTAAGGCAATCATGGCTTCGACCTTCAGCATGCCCATCTCTAGCCTTACCATTGCATTAGATACGCATCTAGGAACTTGAAGCACTGCTCTTAAAAACTTCGATTGAACTAGCTCCAAGGGGGCATAGCTAGAGGAAGGCGCTCCAAGCAGCGTACCATAAAGCATCTGGGCAAGTGTTTTAGCCTTAAAAAGTTTTATAGCTGCTGGTACAAAGTATCCCCCTTGGGATCTGAAAAACTTAAGTATACCGTGAGAGGATTTTTCACCCGAGCATGCTGCTGCCTGGCTATGGGCAGTCTTAGATCCAGAGGCTTGGATGATCATGCCTAGGTAGCGAAAACTAGCTACCTGTTCAAGATTCTGGCCGTTTACACTCCACTTTCTTAATTTGGGTCTCCTGCCAAAGGCCATCACCTTTGTCTTCGCATAGTTAATATCCAGCTCCTGATCACTGCAATAGCTAGCGAACTTCTTAAGTGCCCTTCTCAATCCAATTGGGGTTCTAGAAAGAATAACCGCATCATCGGCATATAAAAGTATAGTAATGGAGCGCTGAGCCAGTTTAGGAGGGTGAAAATCTACATCATTTAGATATCCAGCAACTTCATTGAGGTAAAAGTTAAAAAGCGCAGGAGCTAGCATACATCCTTGCCTATATCCTTGCATATCCTCTATGATTGTATCCCATCCCCTTTTCAAGCCAGCTGAGCTGGTGGCCGTGGCTGCGTCCTCTGGCAGAGAATGTGACAGGCTTATTCCTCTTGAAGAAGTACTTCCTTTGGTCTGTCCTGAGTGGGACCGCCCATCGGCTTCCTTAGGAGCCTGCCTAGGAATGGCATGTATGTGTCCTTGAGTTGGTACAAGAAGGATGGGCTATAAAGGAATAGCACAGGTGCGCAGCTGTCGGCAGGCGAATGCTGCAGGCTCCTCATCTGACCTAGAAAGGTAGTCCTTGTCTCCACCACCACCCCTTCAGTGACTGCAAAACGTACCTGAAGAAGTGAGCCGCAAATTCTGTTAGTCTTTAAGGTGCTACTGGACTCTTCTATACTGCCACAGACGGACTAACACAGCTGCCTGTCTTCTTGCAAAATTTATGGTGTTGATTGTTGCGCTGTGCAATTATGCCTTTCTGTAGAACTTCCTGAACCACTTCCAAGCCGCGAAAGAAGCCCTGAGCGCAGCCACGGCCCAGGCGGCAGAAAAGGCCGCGTCCAGCATGAAGGACTTTGCCCAGAAGAGCTTCCGCCTCTCCATGGACATCAACCTGAAAGCGCCGGTGATCATTGTCCCTCAGTCGTCCGTCTCGCACAATGTCTTGGTGGCGGATCTCGGCTTGATCACGGTGAAGAATGAATTTAAGCTGGTCTCCGGGGGAGAATCTGCTCTCCCCCCAGTGATTGACAAGTTGGATGTACAGCTCACTCACTTGAAGCTCTCCAGGTATGAGCAAGCAACTGATTACCTTTATTGCCAGATGACAGAGGCTGGGCGTTATGTCTCTGCATGCTGTCCCAGTGCCAGACCCATAGCCAGGATTTTGTGGCTTGTGGGGCAAATGTTTTTCTAGTGGGGTTGAAGTTCTCAGTGCAGAAAGAAAAGCCATTTGGCCAATAGAAAGCTGTTAACCAGGAGAGATCTCTAAATTGCAAGCTGTCAACCACTTTGGATGACAGTTCTTAGCTGCTGCAAGTTAATCCCTTCTGCCAGCCTAAGCAACAATCCTGAGAATAAGCTGGCAGGTGGAAGTGAGGACTTCTATAGTCAAGAAAGCCAACACTTGGGCAGGAAAACTCTCTTCAAGGAGACCAGTTTCTTGACACAGAGTTAGAAGGGATCCTAGAGGTCACTTACTCCAACCCCCTTGCTCAGTGCATGAATTAGTCAACTACAGCACCCCATTCTACTTCAAGGAGCACACACCTTTAAAAAAATGTTTAAAATGATTGAAACAAGAATTTACAGGAGAAAATTCTTGTGGGGCTGTGCCTTTAAGAAAGGGTGCGGAGCCCCAAAAGCCCCACCGTAGCGACAGGCCTGGTCTTCTCACTGAGCCGTAGCCCTAGAGAACACCTTCCTTTTATATAAGTCTTGGGCTCCTTCCAAGAGGAAAGCATCGCCACGCCCCCGGCCTTAATCACACAATGCTGTGACTCTTGAGTGGGCAGGCAGCCTTTCATTGGACTTTCCTCCCGAGTGGATTCGAGGCTAATGCTGCCGTGCCCCCCGGGGTGTGGGGTGCTGAGAGCAAGTCTCAGGATGTGGTTAGAGCGCTAGGCTGGTCCTGGGAGAACCCTGCTCAGCACGAAAACTCCCCGGGTGACCTTGGGTCACTCGCTATCACCCAACCTTCCCTACTTCACAAGGTTGTTGTGACGGCAAAAGTGTGGAGGGGAGAGCCATATATTTATTTATTTTTAATGTATATATTTGGATTTATATCCCGCCCTCCCAGCCTAGGCCGGCTTGGGGCGGCTTACAAACAGAATAAAACACGCACATAAATTAAAATTAAATTAAATAGTCCTATTGAGCGGTGGCTCAAGTAGTTAAGAGGCTGAACTACAGGCTGTGGAAGGTTGGTAGTTCAGCAGTTCGAGACCCGAGTGTGCCCCATGACAGAGTGAGCTCCCGTCTCTAGTTCCAACTCCTGCCAACCTAGCAGTTCGAAAGCTAGAAATTGCAAGTAGATAAATAGGTACCACTTCGGTGGGAAGGTAACAGCGTTCTGTGCGCCTTGGTGTTTAGTCATGCCAGCCACATGACCACGGAAACGTCTTCGGACCGCGCTGGCTCTTCAGCTTTGAAACGGAGATGAGCACCGCAACCCTAGAGTCGGATTCGACTGGCTTTCGAGCAAGGGAACCTTTACCTTTACCTAAAATCAGATAAAACATATCAGCATTTAAAAGTGCTCACAACTAATAACACTAATAGGCTGTAATCAGACACATGAAATAATCCACTTTCAATGCACTTTCCGACTGGATTTTTACTATGTGAACTGGCAAAATCTAATTCAAAAGTGGATTGAAAATGGATTATTTAGTGTGTGTGATCGCAGCCATAGATTATTAAATGATGGTGGTTGGCCTCCAGTCTTACATTGTAGTGGTCAGCCCACTGACCTAATCTTTTTGTGGCCAGCACAGGCTGTTCTGGTGGTTTCAGGGGACAGGGTTCCCTATCGGGGGCAGCTGTTCATTAAAGGCCTGGCGGAAGAGCTCCGTCTTGCAGGCCCTGCAGAACTGCATAAGGTCCTGCAGGGCCCTGATCTCCTCTGGGAGCTCATTCCACCAGAAAGGAGCTGCCAGAAAGGAGAAAGCCCTGGCCTTGGTAATAGCCAGCCTGGCCTCCCTGGGATCGGGAAGGGCCAGTCGATGCTGTGACCCTGATCGCAGTGCTCTCTGGGGAACGTACGGGGAAATATGTTACCCTGAGCTCTTTAGAGGAAGGGTGAGATAAAAATATATAATAAATACTCTTTGGAGAAGGCTTTGGAGCTCACGAAGTCTGGTTTAGACCAAGAACCGGTTCTTCAGTAAAGCGGCCACTTGACTGAAACTTGGAAAATGTAATTGTGGAAGGTCCCAGGTTCAGGTCATCTGTAAAATGATGTTGTTGAGCTGGAGCAAAGCTGCCCGATGGGCCTTTGGAAAAACCGCTGTCCGTCCCGTGAGAGAGGAACTTCGCAAACAGCGGCTTCGTATCCTGTAACACATTGACTTGCATTCCTCAGGACGATAGCAGCCAGTGGTTCCCAGCCCGACGTTGAAATTCTGCAGCCTGTAAACCTGCTGTTGTCAGTCCAGAGAAATCTGGCAGCCGCTTGGTATCCAGAGATTCCGGGGGTTGCAGTCAAAGGAGATTTGAAGAGTATGCAGGTGAGACGTTTTGTTATCGATCTGTGTCCTGAATGGCGATCCAGCACAGTGCAGGAAAGCTTTTCTGTCACAGCAGGACTCTGGGGCATGACGGGTGATCGGTCTGGTTGCTTAGTTGATGTCTCTTGTCTTGAAAACCCTCGGGCTTGCCATAAATCAGCTAGGACTTGACAGCGGGGGGAAAAAATCTAATTGAAGGCTGTTTCATCTAAGATACTGTGCTGGAAGTGGATACATCTTCAACTGTTGCGTTATACAGCCAGAAACCGTTCCTATGGTTGTAAGAGTCCTTTTCCTTGTCACTGTGATCTCAGGAATTATTACACACACACACACACACATACACACACATATGAAAACACATCACTTGGCTCATGTAAAGGAACAAATGAAGACTGTTTTCTTGCATGTCTTGTGCAAACTAATCCTGGGGTGATTGTACACGGGAGAAGTTTCCAGGCTCTGTTACCTTTCAGTTTCCTGCTTCCTCACAATTTGAGGAGGGCCGTGGACAACTGTGGGAAGCCGCCGTGTTAGCTGAGGGAAGTTATTGAAGTGGTTCTTTTTGCTTTTTTAAAAATGGACCTCCTGGGAATGAATAATGGATTTGAATGCTTTACAGATAGCTCTCAGTCAAGATGACTTAACTCTGCTGATGAAAATCTTGCTGGAAAATCTTGGGGAAGCTGCTGCACAATCAAGAGTGACCCATCCAGCCACACCGGCGAGCCCAATGTTAAAAAGGGGCAAAATCGAGGCTGAAGCTGGTGTTCGTGAAGGTATGTTCTTCTTTCCCCAAAGCTGAGCTAAAGCCTTCGACAACATACTGAGCTAAATCTCATTATAGTTTTGATTAAAATGTTTGGTCGTTCTCTCAAGCGGAGTATTTGGCTGCAAGTTATTAAATGGCAACAGGTTTGGCAGCTGAATGACTAATTCAGATATGAGCGCTATTCAGATACCATGAACAAACTGCGTTTTTTGTGTGATGTAGCCGAGCCTGGATTCCTTGAGTTCACATGGCTTTATGCTGGCTTGGAATTATGGCTATTGTAAAAGGGGGAAAAAAGAAGAATCTGATATGGGGGGGGGAAATGGATGACTTTCTAAACTAGCTATGTCTTGTATCCCAGCTCACTTCATAAGGGAGCAAATGTAAAGAAAACAGGTTTTGAGAGTCTGACCCACAGATCAAGCAGTCAACAAGACTTGCACAGAAAATGCTTTTATATTATGGCCAACAAGCACCACAACACAATAAACAAATTCCTTCAAATCGTAAGAAAATCCTGGTGTAAAAGTACATCATCAATGTCGTCTCCAGATTATATAACGTTTCAAAATTGGATCTTCCTCAGGAAATATTAGAGTAGTACAAAAGCTCTCCTGCTCATAAAGTGCTTTACAAAAAGTCGTGAAAGATAATACATTCAGAAAGGACGCTGATCCCCATAAATATTCAGGCTTGTAGCCGCCCCCCCCCCCCCCCTGTGGTACAACTGCACAACAACAATCCTCAAGGCCCGAGCTTATTAGACCTTTTTTCCCCCTTTTCTTAATTCACTATTTAGCTGGCCAAAAGCAAAGGCATTTTTTCCCTTTCTTCTCAAGGCTTCACAAACCTGGTTGTCATCGATATTGTAGAGAATGACAGAAAGCGACTCAAAGTCAAAGTCAAAATCGAACATGAGGGCTGCAGTTTCTGTAGGTTGTAATTTACTAAGATCCCTCTGTCCCGAAGAGACGGCGGTATCTGAAATATTTGGAATGAAAAGAAACGCTTGAAATAAGTAATCGGCAATAAGAGCAAGAATGCCCATTTAAGCTGCATTCAGACATGACAAATACACCTTTGGACGCATGTGCAAGCTTCTTCCTTTTCTGTTCCTTATGAAGTGATACAAGACAAACGTGGACAATCACAACCTAATCAGAAAACAAATGTAAAGAAAACAGTCGTGAGAGTCTGGCCCACAGATCAAGCAGTCAACAAGACTTGCTAAGAAGATGCTTTCTGTATATTATGGCCAACAAGCACCACAACACAATAAACAAATTCCTTCAAATCGTAAGAAAATCCTGGTGTAAAAGTACATCATCAACGTCGTCTCCAGATTATGGGAACTGGATAAACATATGGAGCAGAGGTCCATCAGTGGCTATGAGCCACAAGGTAGAGATAGGAACCCTCGGACTGGAGCAAGTGATGCTCGGTATTCTTGGTGCTCGGGGGGGAGGCAACAGTGGGAGGGCTTCTGGCCCCACTGCTGGACCTCCTGATGGGGCACCTGGTATTTTTGGCCACTGTTGGACTGGATGGGCCACAGAGTGTTAGACTGGATGGGCCTTTGGCCTGATTAGCACTGGCTTCTCTTTTGTTATTATAGGAACTCTCAGTCTGGGGCAAGGGATGCTCTGTCTTCTTGGTGCCGGGGGGGGGCAGTGGGAGGGCTTCTAGTGTCCTGGCCCCACTGCTGGACCTCCTGATGGCCCCTGGTATTTTTGGCCACTGTGTATTGGACCCAGAGTGTTGGACTGGATGGGCCATTGGAGTGTTAAACTGCAGTGTTAAAATCTTACGAGCTGTGTTTCTGCTTGGAGGTTTATTTTTGGGAAATATTTTAGTCGAGCGCAAGACTTATGAGGAATTGGGGCTTCTCTCCGACCCAAATCTCCCAACTCCTTTAATGGGCTGATTTCCCATCTTCCTCTCAGCCTCCCCTCACCCCCAGCTGATGCCCAGGTTTTCTCATCTTTTGGAAGGACAATAATGATTTTCATTTCAGGCTGGGATCTTGGCAAGGGCATGTCTTTTTAAAAATAAAATTCACAAATGGATTCCCCTTCCCAGAACATCAACTGAACGTGCAGAAATCCCATTCTTCTCTCTGTGGGTCTTTTTGTTCCTTGTGTGATAGGCCCGTTCCCATGAACATGTTTGGGGCTCATGAGGAATCTACAGCATGGGGGTTGGGGGGGTAGAATAATCAGTTTGGAAATCCCCCCCCCAATATATACATACTCAATTTTTTCTTCTGTTGGATTTTATAAGCTCTTTGAGGCATGCAGAGGGCAATAACTTCATCTCTTTCCCCCCGCCCTGCCCTGCCCTGCCCTGCCCTGCCTCACTTTCCCTAAGCAAACTCTCAGGTTCTTTCAGCATCCCCTGCTTCCTGAAGCATGCTCCGACCTCCTCAGGGAACTTTTGGGTGTTTGTTTTGTTAGTTTACAGAGTCTTTGCCTATTAGGAGAATTCCCCAGCTGTGCAAAACCCCATCCGCTTAACTAAATCGCAGTTAGTTTAAATAGTGATCATTCAGAGCTCTCTTTGCTTTCCTGTGTGCTTCGCTAGATGGGCTGTCGATGCACTTTCAAGCCTTCCAGTTTCTGTGCATAATCATTCCCCCCCCGGCCACTTTCATATATTTTGTAGAAATCCACGCTTTCGCTCCACGATAATAGTTTGCGTCTCGGAGAACTCAGGCTGGACCTTATGAAATCAGCAGGGAAAATGTTTTCGGATGGCTCCATGGATGTTAACACGACGCTGAAAAAATGTACCCTGGACGATCTCAGAGAAGGGATCCAGAGAGCTACATCCAGGTTAGCTCTTTTTCTATGGAATTAAAGACTTTCAGTTTAAAATGCTGCCAACTGCTGGGCATCCAGTTGGTCTGCAGTGCCAGCAGAATGACATAGACTCTGATGACATCCTGCAAGCTTTTCTTCTGGTGAAAGCAGGATGGGGGGGGGGTGCCCTTTCTGACCGTGGGACCCATGTAGACAAAAGCCACATGCGAAAGTGGCTACAGAAGAGGAATCAAAAGAGATGGGGCAGACTTTAATGATGCAACTAGAATGATAAAAGGGTTGGAAAACTTTCCCTGTGAAGAACAGTTAAAGTGCTTGGGGCTCTTTAGCTGGGAGAAAATATGACTGAGGGGTGACGCGATCGAGTTTTACAAGATTATGCATGGGATGGAGCAGGTGGAGAAAGAGGTACTTTTCTCCCTTTCTCACAATACAAGAACTCGTGGGCATGCAATGAAATTGCTGAGCCGTTGGGTTAGAATGGATAAAAGAAAGTACTTCGCCCAAAGAGTGATTAACACATGGAATTCACTGCCACAGGAGGTGGCGGCGGCTACAAGCATGGACGGCTTCAAGAGGGAATTGGATAAACATATGGAGCAGAGGTCCATCAGTGGCTATTAGCCACAAGGTATAGATAGGAACTCTCGGTCTGGGGCAAGGGATGCTCTGTATTCTTGGTGCTTGGAGGGGGGGGGCAACATTGGGAGGACTCCTAGTGTCCTGGCCCCACTGCTGGACCTCCTGATGGCCCCTGGTATTTTTGGCCACTGTGTGACCCAGAGTGTTGGACTGGATGGGCCATTGGTCTCATCCAACCTTGGCTTCTCTTATGTTCTTATGTCTGGGGCATTGATGCTCTGTATTCTTGGTGCTTGGGGGGGGGGGACAGTGGGAGGGCTTCTAATATCCTGACGTCACCTGGTATTTCTGGCCACTGTGTGACACAGAGTTTTGGGCTGGAGGGGCCATTGGCCTGATCCAACACTGGCTTCTTTCATGATGCATGAGAAGATCTGCACTTGCAGTTGTATTGCCAAGTTGCCTCGTATAGCAAAATAATTTTGAACTGTGATGAGTATTAATGTTCTCTTTAGACAGGTGTCAAAGAGTTCCCTGCAGATTGCATATTTTGCAGACCGCTAAATAACACCCAATTTAGCAAGTTCATTTCTAAATCCCGTTAGCTGATCTTGGCCTTCGTGTAGTTTACCACCAGTGTTTAAGCTGAGTTAGTGTGACCTTGCTCACAGTTTTTTAGCCTCCGGTTCACACATTTTTGTCGCAGCTCAGGAAGGATGGCTCCAGAGCAAAGGAATTCATGCAGTAGCCAAATGGCTCGCTCACAACTTTGATGCCAGTCACTCACAAAGTAGAACTTTTGCTCACAAGACCCACAGCTTAGAGGGAGCACTGCTTACCACGTGTGTTTTTTTTACCCCCCACTAGGATGATAGATAAGAAGGATGACCAAAGCAATAATGTCATGATTAGAATCGACTACAAGCAAGACAGAAGTGGGAGCAACGTTGTGGCCGTCCTGGACAAGCTTTACTTGTGCGCCAGCATAGAGTTCCTACTGACAGTAGCGGAATTCTTCCTCAACTCTGTGCCCGCGGACTCTCCCGAGGGGCCTGCCCAGATCCATTTGAAGCACCCGGTGCCTGGGAAGCTTCGGCCGGGAAAAGGTCAGCAGAGAGGTGCCCGGCGCAGCAGGCCCTCCCTGAACTGGCCTGATGTAATCCCGGATTGGTCACCATCCAACGCAGAGTCAGTAGCGCTTAATCCTGTTCACTTTGGATTAAGCCTGCGTTGGGACTGCAGCCAGGGTGTGCCAGGTGTCATCTGGACTATTCATCCATGTCGGGAGAGTACAGTGGATTGTAATCAGAATCTAGTGGAGAATTTTTAAAGCAAGGGCAATACAGACTCTTACGGTCTCTCCCGTATCAGCCTGTGCACTGCCCGGTCGCTTTAGGGTTGCCAGGTCTCTTCAAGACGCTGGTGGGGGGAGGTGCTCCGGGAGCCAGAAGTGTTGCCCCCGACGTGCCAGTGTCACTGGAAGTAACGTCGCGCGTCACCCGGAAATGACGTAGGTACATCGGGGGTGTTAGAGTTAGCCTTAGAGTTTTACCCAAAATCCAGAGCGTCCCCCCCCCCATGTCACTGATGTGCCTATGTCGTCAGTTTGGGGTAGTGGCGAAATGCGCGGACTCTACTCTGGGAGAACCAGGTTTGATTCCCCACTCCTCCACTTGCAGCTGATTCCACACTCCTCCGACTCACCTTGGGCAAGCCATAGTTCTGATCAGGTCAGCAGAGAGCTGCCCAGCGCAGCAGGCCCTCCCTGAACTGGCTTGATGTAATCCCAGATTGGTCACCGTCCAATGCAGAGTCAGTGGCGCTTAATCCTGTTCACTTTGGATTAAGCCACCAGCCTCACAGGGTGTCTGTTGTGGGGAGGGGAAGGGAAAGGAGTTTGTCAGCCCCTCTGAGACTCCTTTGAGTAGTGAAGCGTGGGGTAGAAATCCAATCTCTTCTTCTTCTTCTCCATCTTCTTCTTCTGGGTGGCATCGGCACGTCGTCTGACATGGCTGGGGGGGGGGATTTCCTCCCGCCGGTTAGCTGTCCAGTGTTGTGCAAGAGCCCACAAAAGCGGGGAAATCCCCCACCCACCCCCGAACTGGGGAATGGCAACCCTAGGTCGCTTTCGCCTCGAGTGTTCTCTCAGTTAAGTCTGTAAGAGTGTCTGTTCCCTTGACTCCGGCCTTCTCTGTAGTAGCCCCAACACTGTGGAATGGCTGCCCGGAAGGAAGGGGATGGTTGGGCCCTCTCTTCATTGGAGCGAGTATGTCTAGGGCTGCCAGCCCCAGGTTGGGAAATCCCTGGAGGTTTGGGGGGTGGAGCCTGAGGAGGGCGTGGTTTGGAGAGGGGAGGGAACTTTGATGGGGTGTGATGCCACAGAGCCCGCCTTTCAAAGCGGCCCTTTTCTCCAGGGGAACCTGATCTCTGTCGCCTGGAGATTAGTTGTGATCCTGGGAGATCTCCAGCCACCAACTGGAGGTTGGCAACCCCATGTTATATCTGACATTTTAAAAAAAATTCCTCCCCCCCCCCTATTTTATTTAATTTTACATTTATACATCATATCTTCGGTTTACATTTTTTATTCTTGTGAGTCTTATCTACTTTCATTATCTAGCCATATATAAAACATTTTCCATCTGTGTTCAAATATTTCTTTACTTTTGTCTTGTAACCTTACACTTAATCTATCCATTTCAGCTACCAATAACATTTTATCTATTACCTCTTTTTTTGAAGGTACATTCTCCTCCTCCCACATTTTAGCTAGTAATAATCTCGCAGCCAGATTCAGTAATACAGATAAATATGTAATTAAAATGGTCTTTTTTGACAGGCCGACCTTAGATTTTTCTTGGACATTTATTTAGACAGACAGACACTGATCTTTGTTTTATATGTGTGCGTATGCGTGTGTGTGTGTGTGCACCTGGAAGTCATGACGACCTCTGGTGACTGACCCCTGCCGGGGGCCTGGAGGGTATTCAGGGATTCTATAGCGATGCCCCCTGCTTTGTCGCTCTGTACCATTCTAGGTTTAAATTGCCCACTTCTGGCAAAAATGGTCCGTCTCTATTACTGGGGCAGGTTCAGCTTTGAGACCTCAGACCAGGACCGTGGCAAAGGCTGTCATATCACCTGCCGGGCAGCTGTTCCGCGCGTCCAGAAAGGCGTGCTTTCTGACGATCAGCGCGATGTGTAAAAACAATATTCTGTACCGTTCTAGCCAATGTATACTTTTATTTAGGGGGGGGAGATGGCTGACAACGCACAAAATTTTAACTTCTACAGATGGGACTCCGCGGTCGAGCATGAAGATAAAAGCATGCGTCACGGACCCGGAAATCGTGTTTGTCGCCAACCTGACCAAGGCCGACGCTCCTGCCTTAGCCGCTTCCTTCGAGTGTGACTTCTACCTGTCCGCGGGCCCCCAGACTCAGGACATGTGTGCAGAAGTGAAGGCCCTCAGAGTGCTGGCTTGCCCGTTCCTCCGGAAGAAGGGAGAGAAGAACGTCACAACCGTAAGCTCTTTTGCAGATGTCTACAAGGAGTACAAATCCTCTAGCACGAGAGTGCGCGAGTCGCAAGGCATATGTTTTGGGTTGTGTGTGTGTCTGTGAGCGTGTGTGTGAAGTGCATGTTTTGGCTTGTGTGTGTGTCTGTGAGCGTGTGTGTGAAGTTCCATCAAGTTGCAGCCGACCTGCAGCAACCCCATGGGGTTTTCAAGGCAAGAGGTGCCACCTTCTTTTGATTTCTGGAGACAGTAAAGCTTAAATGCCCCTTTATAATCCTCAGAATGCTTCCTCTCCCCCCCACCCCCAAATCCATGGAAAGGTGGTATAAAACTGTAAAAGCTGGAGGTCCTTTTCAAGCTCCAGCACAGCATTGATTCATCACCGTTTTTGACGGTCTTTAGAAATGTCTGCCATACAAGACTTCGCCTGTTGGCCTAAAACCTTAAGGGAGCCTCATAATATGCTCCCAGATACTTCCCTCCCCCCGCCCCGGGACTTCATAAAGATGCGTGAGTCGACCGTATGAATCTTGAGAATTAAAAGTTTTTTAAAAATTGAGAGCCAGTTTGGCGTGGTGTTTAAGAGCAGTGGACTCTAATCCGGGGAACCGGTTTTGGTCCTCCATTCCCCCACATGCATCTGCTGGTGGTGTGACCTTGGGTCAGTCGCAAGTTCTCTCAGAGCTGTTCTCTCAGGAACAGTCCTCGAAAGAGCTCTCTCAGCCCCACCTACCGCACAGGGTGTCTGTTGTGGGGAGGGGAGGGGAAAGGAGATTGTAAGCCCCTCTGAGACTCCTTTGGGTAGTGAAGGGTGGGGTATAAATCCAACTCTTCTTCTTCCTCCTCTTCTTCTTTCTCTTCTTCTTCCTCCTCTTCCTCCTCCTCCTCTTCCTCTTCTTCTTCTCTTCCTCCACGAGCATGGTTCTCCCTCCTGCAGCAGCCATTCTGTGGTTGGCTCCGCCTCCCATGGCACCGTTTTGTGGTCACTCCCACCACCCTGTGTGAGAGTTCCAAAGGTACCTACTAGCTCAAAAAGGTTGTGGACCCGTACTCTAGGTGAAGCCTTCCTCACTTTCTTTAACAAGCATGATTTTTTACATCATTAAGTAGCATGAAGACAGCACATTTGCTTTCTTAAAACATGGTTATTTTTACACTTTTTCTCTTGTGTTTTCTAAGGTCCTCCAGCCGTGTTCCCTGAAAGCCACAGTACACACTTCCGAAGAACAGAAAGTGTTTGTGATAATGGACGAATTTATCGTAAAGGTCAGTAAACGTTATTGGAGCGCAGTACTATAAGAATTCATTTTTTACCCCTCCTATACTTCCAGAAAATCCTGTTACATTGATTTCAGGTTTCATAGTAGACAGCTGTAGTGTTTTATAAATTAAAAATTCAGGTTTTTTAAAAAAGCGTATTGTTTCCGGGCCATGTTGGGTGGAAAGGCTGCATAAAAACATTTTAAATAATTAAATTTAGTGTATTTCCTAGTACCAGGCCAGTTGTGGTGTACTAAAGCCATACTTTTAATATTATGAGCCATGGAATTCTCTAGTCTGGTGTAGTGGTTAAGTGCGCAGACTGTAATCTGGGAGAACCGGGTTTGATTCCCCTCTCTTCCTCCACTTGTAGCTGCTGGATGACCTTGGGCAAGCCATAGTTCTGTCAGAGCTGTCCTTGAAAAGGAGCAGTTCCTGTCAGAGCTCTCTCAGCCCCACCTCCCTCACAGGGTGTCTGTTGTGGGGAGGGGAAGGGAAAGGAGTTTGTAAGCCGCTCTGAGACTCCTTCGGGTAGTGAAGGGTGGGGTATACTCCAACTCTTCTCTTCATCTTCTCTCTCCTCCTCCTCTTCTTCTCTTCTTCTTCTCTCTTCTTCTCCTCTTCTTCTCTCTTCTTCTTCTCCTATCTTCTTCTTATCTTCTCCTCCTCCTCCTTCTGTGTTTTGCATACACGCATTATAAAGGAGCTCATCAGGGTTTTGTTTCTTTTGAAGGTTTCGCCCATCATTCTCAATACTGTTGTAACCATTATGGCTGCCATGAAACCGAAGCCGAAGGAGGAGGAGTCCGCAATCACAGCTTGTAACGTAGGGAACCTTTGGGACACGAGGTCTATCGACCAGTGCCACTCGTGGTTTCTCGGTGTCGACGCAGCCACAGAAGTCACCGAATCATTCCAAGGAAGTGAGCAGGTTGTGAAACTGCAGCACCTTGATTTCCAGGTGAAGTCCGTCCAGATCACCTTGGAGTGTGGCTCGGGACATCGTACCATCCCCCTCCTGTTAGTGGAGTCCACGTTGGTAGGAAGGGCAAAGAACTGGTCTTCTCTTATGACTGCCCGAGCTGACGTAACATTGGAGGTGCGTACACAGATGAACTAAGCGACAGGATTATTGTGGGCAAACCTTTCTTTGTTCTAAGTTGCAGGATTCTCGGGTCAGGTGTGTGGTGGCTCGAAATCACTCTTGACCTTTATGGATTCTAACCTCTGCATTTTAATATTACACCCCAGGTTCACTACTACAACGAGATTTATGCAGTTTGGGAACCCCTGATCGAGCGGGTTGAGAAGGGGAGTCGTCAGTGGAACTTAAAGTTTAAAGTAAGCAGATATTACTGAAGTGATCATGTGCCCATGTGGCTATTACAGTTTTGTCACCGTCAGAGACTGAGCACCGACCCTTGGTCTGTCCGGGGCCATCCTGTCTCCTCTGTGGAGGTCCACCAGATTGACCTACTGCCTTATCGCTTCAAGTGGAGAAGCTGGGGGTTGAACCTGAGACCTTCTGCATGCCACACAGAGAGCCAGTTTGGTGTAGTGGTTAGGCGCGCGGACTCTAATCCGGGAGAACCAGGTTTGATTCCCCACTCCTCCTCTCCATGCAGCTGCTGGCATGACCTTGGGTCAGTCACAAGTTCTCTCAGAGCTGTTCTCTCAAGAGCAGTCCTCAAGAGAGCTCTCTCAGCCCCACCTGCCTCACAGGGTGTCTGTTGTGGGGAGGGGAAGGGGAAGGAGATGGTAAGGCACTCTGAGACTCCTTCAGCGAGTGAAGGGTGGGGTATAAATCCAGTTTCCTCTTCTTCTTCCTCTTCTTCGTGCACCGATCCCCCTTGCCCACGTTTCTAAAAATGACTGTAGCTGCTCGTAGCAAATGTCATTTTGCGGCAGTGCAGCCGTCATTTATTTTCCGTTCTGTTCAGATGAGCGAGGAGTCCTTGGGCACTTGTGCCCTCCCCCTCAACTGCACGTCTGTGGAGCCGAGGCCAAAAGGCTTGGGACGTTTTTTGCGGTGATGCCCAAACTGAGGTGCTCTAGCAAAGGGCCGTTTTGCTTCCTGCCAACAAACGGGGGATTCTATGCCATCGTTCAGTCCTGCTGTAAAACCCCCGGACTGTAGAAACCTTTTGCCTACAGTAAAAAAAATTAAGCCAGGATGACGGGTGTCTTGAGCTTGGATCAAAAGAAGGCAGTTGAGTTAAACTTAAGAGTGCCCTGAGCTGGATAGCCCGGCCTAGTTCAGTCTTGTCAGGTCTCGGAAGCTCAGCAGGGTCAGTCCTGGTCAGTACTTGGGTGGGGGACCACCGAGGAAGCCCAGGGTTGCTACGCAGAGGCAGGCCACGGCAGACCACCCCTACTTATCTTTTCCCCTTACCTGGGTGGCCCAGGCCAGCCCGATCTCATCCGATCTCAGAAGCTAAGCAAGGTCAGTACTTGGGTGGGGGACCACCACGGAAGCCCAGGGTTGCTACGCAGAGGCAGGCAAGGGCAAAACCACCTCTGGACATCTCTCGTCTTGATCTGTAGGGCCCAGGCTAGCCCGATCTCATCCGATCTCGGAAGCGAAGCAGGGTCAGTCCTGGTCAGTACTTGGGTGGGGGACCACCCAGGAAGCCCAGGGTTGCTACGCAGAGGCAGGCAGTGGTAGACCACCTCTGTTCGTCTGCCCTGACCCGGGTGGCCCAGGCTAGCCTGTTCTCATCATATCTCAGAGGCTAAGCAGGGTCGGCCGTGCTTAGCGCCGGGATGGGAGACTCCTGTTTACATGGGAGACCACCCAGGAAGTCCGGGGTCGCAACACAGAGGCAGGCGGTGGCAAACCACCTCCATTCACCTGCCCTGACCTGGGTGGCCCAGGCTAGCCTGATCTGGTCAGATTTCAGAGGCCAGGCAGGGTCGGCCCCGGTGAGTACTCGGATGGGAGCCCACCCAGGAAGTCCAAGGTTGCTACGCAGAGGCAGGCAAGGGCAAATCACCTCTGAACGTCGCTTGCCTCGAAAACCCTCCGAGGTCACCGCAAGGCAGTTGCGGCCAGATGGCAGAGAGACAGAAGAAGAACACCACGGTGGACCCGTGTTTTGACGGCTTGTTGCCGTTCCTTTCAGATGAAGACTCATCCTGTGCACGATAAAAGTCTGTTGCCGGGAGATGACTTCATTATTCTTCCTGAGCCGCAAACGTCCATCAGCATCTCTTCGAAGGATGTCATGAACATCACCCTGTCGAAGTGCTGCCTTGCTGTCTTAAACAACCTAGCCAAGGTGAGTGAGCGAAACAAGGGCGCCTTGCGATGGGTCCTTTTCGTGCGGTCTTCCCATCAAACCGGGGACCAGATTGTCTTCTGGGCATATCTTGAGCTGATGCTTGGGCTTTTTGGGCATCGGTTTTCTACTCTGTGTAAAAAACTATCTAGCAAAGGGAAGGAGCAATAGCCAGTATTGGGCATGCAGAGAAGGAATGGATTTTGGGACAAGATGACGGCAGCCAGGAGGGTGTTGAATCCATCTGCCCACATTTGTTCTGCACACAACAGCAGAGTCAAAGATACATCCCCAGTTTTGACGGAAAACGCACCTCTCCCCCAGCAGTCATGGTGGGTTGTTTTTTTCCTGTTTCAGAGGGTAGTCGTGTTGGTCTGCAGTGGAACAGTTGGATTTGAGTCCAAATGGATTTTTTGTTTTGTTTTCGAATGGCACCATTTGGGAGAGGGGCAGAAGTTCTGCATCCGGTGCAAACCAGCCTTGGAGCAGTGGTGTGGAATCCTGTTTTAAGCAGCAACCTTGGTCAGCTTTAACCTCAGTTCTCTCAGAGCTGTTCTCTTAAGGGCAGTCCTCGAGAGAGCTCTCTCAGCCCCACCCACCTCACAGGGTGTCTGTTGTGGGGAGGGGGAGGGAAAGGAGTTTGTAAGCCGCTCTGAGACTCCTTTGGGTAGTGAAGGGTGGGGTATAAATCCAATCTCTTCCTCCTCCTCCTCGTCTTATAGATGTGATTGGTGTTCCCTCTAAGCTGAGTTAGTGTGAGCTAGCTCACAGTTTTTTAGCCTCCAGCTCACAGATTTATGTCTTGGCTCAGGGAGGACGGCTCCAGAACAAACTAATTTATGCAGCGGCCAAATCTCTCGCTCACAACTTTAATGCCAGTAGCTCACAAAGCAGAATTTTTGCTCACAGGACTCCACAGCTTAGAGGGAGCATTGGATGTGATGTGAAAAAAAAACCACATTCTGGGAGGGGAGAGGGGGGCAGCCAGGAGACAAAGCTTGCAGTTCTGCACCTGCTTCTTTGTGAGCCCGTTTTTCAAGATGGATCTTTGTTGCCTTCCCTTCTGGGAGGAAGAGCCCCAGATAAACGAATCAGAGAGCGCTGACTGAAAGCAGATATATGCTGTGTCGCCATAACAGGGAAGAGGCTAGATTCCCAGAGTGATTTGGGGGGGGGGGGACTAAAGTGCTTCCATAACAGTGACAGATTATCTTATGTTGAGAGCGGAACACAGGAAGAGGGCAGGTCTGAGAGTGCTTTGTGCTCTGACTGGCCAGCGGCTCTCCGGGCTCCCAGACAGAGAGGATGTTCCTCAGCACCTGCTATCCGAGATCCCTCTGCGTACAGATGTCAGTGACTAAATCCGCCAACATCTGCCTGCCAAGCAGGTCTTCTGCTGCTCAGCCCCCTGCCCCTCCAATCCTACCATTTAACAAGCCCAGACTCTTCCCTTCAGAATCTTCAAAAGCCCAGAGTGCGCTTTGAAACTAAAAAAAAGGCTTTATCTGCTGACAGCCCTGCTAAGAATATCAAGTATCCCCCCCCCCAACATTTGTATGCACGCTGCAATTGCCTACGCTTAATAAGGATGTTCTTGCTCTGTTTTAGGGGTTTTCAGAAGGAACAGCCTCCACGTACGACCATTCTTTAAAAGACAGGGCTCCTTTTACCGTGAGAAATGCCTTGGGCATTCCCCTCAAAGTCCACACGAGCAGAAATCTCCAGGTCATGGGATTGGCTTCGAGCAAAGATGATATCTATGATGTAGGAGTCGGTCAGAAGTTGGGGCTGGAATACGCCGCCCTGGAGCCCCTGCACCGAGGGAAGCTGTCGGTCTTCTATCGCCAAGAGAGCTCCACGTTCACTTTGGCTCTCGGTAAGACGCAAGGGAGCCGCGATCGTGAGGGAAAGCTGGGTGTGCGTTGCCGCCGAAAGTGTGTTCGGCGAAGCTGAAGCACGCACAGTGGGAATGTTTTGCTAAGGGGTAAAGTCACTCCTGCGCTGAATGTTTTCTCTGCTGTTCGCATTCCCAGAAATGCCCGTGCTCAACACCAATCAGTTCCAGTTCTGAGTCTCCATATACCAATTTGCATTGCTGTTATGACTGCCGTTGTATAAAGCTGATTCCTAAAACGTTTATGCCGTTTGCATTTGGGCCTGTCAGCAAACCACTAAATGGCATTTCTATAGAACCTTTCTAGTCCTAATATGATACGGATCCCCCCTCCTCCGAAAACTAATAATATTAGTTAGAAAGATGGAGTTACTCCGAAAAGTAATAATATTAGTTAGAAAGATGGAGTTAATCCTTGAGAATTTTTTTTGCATTTCTCCCTTTTAAATTAGAGCTGATATCAGCATTCAGAGCAAGCAGAGTAGAACGTCCTTCTGGGATGGTGGTACTTTAGATTACTGGTGGAATACATAAAATTCATTTATGTATGATTTACGTTATTTATAATCCGCCTATCTCACAGAGACTCACATAGTCGGTCAGTACGGTCAACAAAACAGGACATTCAAGAACCCGTGCAATTAGGATTTTAGCAGTCTGAAAGATCTGAAGCACAGCTTAAGCACTCGCGTGACACTTTAAGGCTTCCAGGGGTGTTGAACTCACTTGTTATGAGGGCCGGATCTGACCTAAATGAGACCTTGTTGAGCCGGGCCAGGTGTGTCATAAAATGTAACGCCAGGTAGCCGAGATATAAACTTTATAAAGGACACAAACACAAAAGGGTTGTTTTTTTTACTTAAAATAAAAACGTGCTTAAAACATGAGTACTCTTGCAATATTTCGTTTATTTAACAGTGTCTGACAACTGGCGCCTCTTGCTCTGAATTGTGGGCTTGATAGAAGTTCTCCGGGGGCCTGATCCGCATGTTTGACACCCCTGCTTTAAGCAGTACGAGAATTACATAAATAGGATCCTGCTTACCGTAAGCTGTACACAGCAGTGTTGGCCGCAGTCCGTAACCTTCCTTTGTTTGTAAAACCGTTTTGTACGGTCTGACCCTTTTACCTGCACAGAAAAAGCCCCCTCGAATAGTTCAGTTTTGCCTAGTTTGCAGAAAGCCAAGAGGGCAGGAACCTTCCTGACCTCCTCGGGCAAACCGTTCCACGAGGCAACGGAGGAAGCGCTTGTGCGGGCAGTTGTTGATTTTTCCCCATCTGCAGGCGGGCATCTGCTGGGGGGAAATCCCTGCCCGTAGAAACCTTGCACCTTGAGCCGGGTTAGATCCATTCTCTCTGTTGGCAGTGAGGAAGCATTCACGCGAATAGGGTCTCGTGTCCGAAGTTGTCAGATCCCGGGATGGGCTCCTTGACACTCTCTTGCCCTTCCCAGGGGACTTTGCGAAAGGGCTGCACACAAGCGTATCCGTCGAGAATTACATAAATAGGATCCTGCTTACCGTAAGCTGTACACAGCAGTGTTGGCCGCAGTCCGTAACCTTCCTTTGTTTGTAAAACCGTTTTGTACGGTCTGACCCTTTTACCTGCACAGAAAAAGCCCCCTCGAATAGTTCAGTTTTGCCTAGTTTGCAGAAAGCCAAGAGGGCAGGAACCTTCCTGACCTCCTCAGGCAAACCGTTCCACGAGGCAACGGAGGAAGCGCTTGTGCGGGCAGTTGTTGATTTTTCCCCATTTGCAGGCGGGCATCTGCTGGGGGGAAATCCCTGCCCGTAGAAACCTTGCACCTTGAGCCGGGTTAGATCCATTCTCTCTGTTGGCAGTGAGGAAGCATTCACGCGAACAGGGTCTCGTGACCGAAGTTGTCAGATCCCGGGACGGGCTCCTTGACACTCTCTTGCCCTTTCAAGGGGACTTTGCCGCTGCACAGCTGTAGGACCGCAGGAGGCGAAAGGGCTGCACACAAGCGTATCCGTCTTTTTAAAACACAGAGAAGACAGGGATCAATCTTGTCACTGCTTTTTGTCGTCGGACAGTGCCTCAGGACTACACGGAAGTGGCAAATATCCCCATAACGAAACCAGGGCGAAGGCTGCACAACGTCAGAAACCCTTTCCTCGACCATTCCGACTCCGTTCTGGTACAGATCGACGCAGAGGAAGGAAACAAAGTTGTCACTATACGCTCCCCTCTGCAGGTAAAGGGCTACCTTTTGTGGGTGCGTGCTCCTAAGACCGGCAGTCTGTTCCAGAATACGTATCGGCTTAGGTGGAGAGCCCCCCCCCCAGCTGCAGCCCCCTTTGCTGAACCCCATGTCGTTCCCAAGGCACAGGGCTCTTGGGAGTAACTGCCAGACCCCCTGCAGCAATCAGTTCCCAACAGCTTTCATTCAAAGAAGTAAAGTTTATTAAGACTATTGATAGTTTGCAGATATCACAGACACCCTGTGTTAGAACTGGCCAAAAGCACGCAAAGCAAACAGTTATACATAATTCAAGGAGACCCCCGCCCCATGGCCTAGCGCCAACGAGGGGCCAGGTAGAAGCCCGCCAAACTAACAGACATTAATTCCCAGGAGAAACACTACACCAGGTCAAGCAGAGATAAGAGAAACGGGGGAGACACAGCAGAAACAAAAGTTAAAATTCCAAAGCCATCTCAACCCCATGGCAGCAGGGCTAGACAGAGGCCTAGCTGACAGTAACGTTTCCAGGGCCATGGGGGGGCTGTGACAGGGAGGGGGAAAGACCCGTTGAACCAGCGGAGTTATGCTTTCGGTCCGGTCAATGTAAACCAGGGGTCATTTCCTGCGGGAGTGCACAGGAGTGGAGCTCCGGCAGTAAAGAGACCAGGGGGCGAGCACATGCAACAAGCCCCGCCCCCTGCTCGCAGCAGCCCTCAGTCGGGCCACGAGGATCAAGAAGCAGCCAGGTAATTTGCAGAGCCCCCCCCCCCCACCTTCAGGTACAAGCTCTCCCTCCTCTGTGAAGACAGATCTGCACGTCCTACGTCCCCCCCATAGCTAGCACTCCAAAACAGTCCAGTGGAGCCTGAGTGGTGGGTGTTGCCTTCTGACACACTTCCGGTGATGTCAGGGGGTGTGGCATATGCAAATGAGTTATGCAAATGAGTTATGCTAATGAGCTCCTGCACCTCTTTTTCTACGAAATGACCCCTGATGTAAACGAATCGACACTGGGTGAAATGGAAGTCCTGCACGTGGTGATTGATTCACACATCCGGCGTACATCATTATGGCTGTTCTGTTTCCGGTTTCGGTTTCAGATCAAGAACCACTTCTCTGTCCCGTTCATCATTTACAAACTGGTGAAGAACGTTAAGCAGCTGGAGCCCATCGGCATAGCCAAACCCGACGAGGAGTTCCATGTCCCGTTAGATTCGTACAGGTAAAGCCAGCATCTGTTCGGATTTCTTAAGTGGTCATCTCAGAAAGCAGAAGAGTTTCTGACTAAACATTAGGAAGAGCTTCCTGACGGTAGTGGGACAGGCTTCCTGGGGAGGTGGTGGGCTCTCTTTCTTGGGAGGTTTTCAAGCAGAGGCTGGATGGCCCCATCTGACAGCAATGCGGATCCTGTGAACTTGGGCAGATCATGAGAGGGAGGGCAGGAAGGGCTGCATCAGGGCTTAGTTCTCATTGTGGCCCTTTCTTACACGCCCAGGGAAATGCCAATCGCCACTTTGGGGCCAGGAAACAATCTTTCTCCAGGCCAGTTTGGCCAAGGATCCTGGGGAGGGGGAGTTGCCGTCTTCTGGGCATGGAACGGGTCACTGGGGGTGGGGAGGTATTTGTGAATTTCCTGCATTGTGCTGGGGGTTGGACTAGATGACCCTGGAGGTCCCTTCCGACTCTATGATTCTATGATCTGCAAAGAAAAAAGAAAATTTGTGTGAACCTAATGATGAGTCCAGGGCCGTGGTGGCTCAGTGGTTAAGATGCTGAACTGCAGGCCAGAAGGTCGGTAGCTCGGCAGTTTGAGACCCGGGTGCCACATGATGGAGTGAGCTCCCGTCTCTGGTCCCAGCTCCTGCCAACCTAGCAGTTCGAAAACAAGAAATTGCAAATAGATAAATAGGTACTGCTTTGGTGGGGAGGTAACAGCATCCCATGCGCCTCGGCGTTTAGTCACGCTGGCCACATGACCACGGAGAACGCTTCGGACAACGCTGGCTCTTTGGCTTGGAAACAGAGATGAGCACCGCCCCCTAGAGTCGGAAACGACTGGCTTTCGAGCAAGGGAAACCTTTACCTTTAATGATGAGTCCATGACCTTCCCCTTCCTGCCCTCGGACTCAGGTGTCACCTGTTCGTGCAGCCGGCCGGGCACTTAAAGGGCCAGTACACTCCGTCCACTACCTACATCGCGTGGAGAGAGGAGCTCCACAGGAGCACTGAAGTCAAATGCATGCTGCAGTGCCCGTCAACCGAAACCAACTTCCTCCCTTTAATCCTGAACACGGCTGCGGTGCCCGACGAGCTGACTTTCATCGCCACCCATGGGGAGAACTGGGATCCGGCCTACATCATCCATCTGTATCCGACGGTCACCATGCGGAACCTCCTCCCCTACTCCTTACGATACCTGCTGGAGGTAGGGTTCTCAGTGCCTCCTGTAACCCTCTGAAGGCCACAAAGGATCCTTAGGATTCCCCCCCCCTCCTCCTTCTCCACTGTGTTTTTAAGTGTGTCACATTCTTATAAACCTTTGCTTTCATGCTGCTTTATGTCGGTAGACCGTAGTCTTAATTTCAATCACCCATCTTGGAGGCTTGAAATTTCCATTGAGTCTGCTATGTAGGTTCAAAACGTACAGAAGGAAATACTACTCTACACAGAGAGTGATTAAAATGTGGAATTCGCTGCCTGAGGGTGTCATATGAGCATAAGAGAAGCCAATGTTGGATCAGGCCAATGGCCCATCTAGTCCAACACTCTGTCACACAGTGTCATGATGGCCACAGGAATAAACAGCTTAGATAGATTCATGGAGGATCAGTCTGTCAGTGGCTATTAGCCTTGGTGACTGAGGGGAACCTCCACATTCAGAGGCACTGATCCTCTGGTTCCCAGAGCCAGGAGGCAACCTCAGGGGAAGACCTCGGCCTCTCTGTCCTGTTGCTGGCCCTCCAGAGGAACTGGTTGGCCCCTGTGTGAGGCAGGAGGCTGGACTAGATCCAGCAGGGCTCTTCTGATGTTCTCCTCAGGGGAAGGCCTCGGCCTCTATGCCCTGCTGTTGGCCCTCCAGAGGAACTGGTTGGCCCCTGTGTGAGACAGGATGCTGCAGTAGATGGATCACTGGTCTGATCCAGCAAGGCTCTTCTTCTTAAGTTCTTGTGTTCTTATGTGTTTTTTATTTTGTTTTTATTTATTTTGTTTTTATTTATTTTACGATTTATACCCCGCCCTACCCCACCGGAGCAGGCTCCGGGCGACTTACACGGGATAATATTCACAATAACAATCAAAAGTTCACAAAGATTTAAAAACAGTGCATTAAAACAATACAACGTCAAAGGGCTAGCTTTGTTGTTTGGTGTCGTAACGATGGCATTACCGCGTGAGTGCATTCCAGCTCACTGATCTTCCTCAGATGTAGTTGGTGGGCCTAGGCTATCGATAACCAACCAGGGACCAAGCTCTTCAGGCTGTTGCAGTTGTTAACAGTGGTGGCGGTTCCTAGTTGAAAGCCTGGTGGAAGAGCTCCATTTTGCAGGCCCTGCGGAACTGTAAAAGGTCCCGCAGGGCCCTGATCTCTTCCAGGAGCTCATTCCGCCAGTATGGAGGCGCCACCGAGAAAGCCCTGGCCCTGGTTATCACCAGCCTGACCTCCTTGGGGCCTGGAAGGGGAATTGGATTTATCCCCCGCCCTTCACTACCCAAAGGAGTCTCCGAGCGGCTTACAAACTCCTTTCCCTTCCCCTCCCCACAACTGACACCCTGTGAGGTAGGTGGGGCTGAGAGAGCTCTGACAGGAACTGTTCTTTTTCAAGGACAGCTCTTATCAGAACCACAGCTTGCCCTAGGTCATCCAGCCAGGTGCAAGTGGAGGAGTAGGGAATCAAACCCGGTTCTCCCAGATTAGAGTCTTAACCACTACACCAAAGTGGCTCACTGTAGGCACACAAGAGTGTCAAATGTCAGCTAAAGCAGTCTTGTGTGCTGCTGAGATGGCGTCGCTGTCATGGGCACATTTCTAGGGCCGTATGCATGCTGTTCTAAACTGAGTTTAGCAAACGTTACGATCTAATCCGTGGCGAGTTTGGTTCAGTCATAGTGTTTGTGTCTTTGCTGCCCCTTTCCAGTGTTCAGTCCTCCTTCAAATTAGTTTTCCATATCTAATTTCCCTCCTGATTTCCCGTGTTTGTTCTAGAGGACAGCAGAGGCCCACGAGCTGCCGGAAGGGAGCACCGCCGACATTCTCCATTCACGATTCAGCGGTGAAATACTGGAGCTCGTCCTGGTAAAATATCAGGGCAAAGACTGGAACGGCCACATCCGCCTCAAGGACGGTCTGCCAGAATTCTTTCCCGTGTGCTTCACGTCGAACTCTGCAGATACGACCACAGTGGACGTGCACATTCATATCAGGAGAGTTGGCTGCCGGGTGGTCCTGTCGGTGTTCAGTCCTTACTGGCTCATCAACAAGACGTCCCGTGTCCTCCAGTACCGGGCTGAAGACATGCACGTGAAACACCCTGCAGAGTACAGGGATATCATCTTGTTCTCCTTCAAGAAGAAAAATATTTTCAGTAAAAACAAGGTAGCACACACACACACCCCGCCCCCGGGTTCATGCAAACCGACCTATAGGAATAAACGGCACATTCCCTTTCACGGCTTAGTATCACCAAAGAAATACACTCAGGTTGCACAAGAAGCTTTGAAGGGAAGACATAGTTTTCTTTCTAAGTGTCTTGTGCAGCTTGGGCACCGTTCTTTGTTGCGAGCGACCCGTGTGCCGACTGTGGTCATCAGGCAGCCATCTGTGGGCTCTCCCACCCCCTGTGTGGCATTGACCAGAGCCAGGGCCTTTTCCGTGGTGGCTCCGGCTCTGTGGGAGGGACTCCCTGAAGAGGTGAGGCGGGAACCCTTCCTTGGAGGTCTTTGGGAGATGCTGCAAGGCCTGCCAGGGCTTTTGAGTGGGGGTTGAACAGCAGGCATCTTTGGGGGGGGAATGCGGTTATACTTTTGCTTTAAACTGCAAGTGTTTTTGAACTTATTGCAAGCCGCCTTGAGCCATGGGGAAAGGTGGGATGTAAACGTTTAAATTTTATTTATTTACATTATTTGTAGTCTAGCTTTCTCACGGGGACTCGGAGCAGATGAGAATAGTTAAAGAAGGCTAATGGCCTCTCGTGTTTAGTGCAGCTGACCTGCACCGAAGCACAGAAAACATCCCTGCTTTCACTAGGGGGTGGGCAACTGTGTGGTGTAAGCGTCACGTTGGCTGTAAAGCAAGGTAGAGTGAAGTAAACATTTATGATAAAGGTGTGACATATTCTCTCTCTCTCTCTCTCCCCCCCCCCTTTCATGCTGTAGATCCAGTTAAGCATTTCAACCAGTACATGGTCCAGTGGCTTCTCTCTAGATACAGTAGGAAGTTATGGCTGTGTGAAGTGCCCAGCGAACGCGATGGATTTTCTGGTAATGTCTGTTTTTATACTTGCTTCTTACACTACGTTCTGTGAGATCCAGGTGGGGCAGCCATGTTGGTCTGAAGCAACAGAGCAATGTTTGAGTCCAGGGGCACCTTTAAGACCAACAAAGTTTAATTCTGAGTATAAGGCTTTGTGTGCGTGCACACATCTTCAGGTAGAACCAAGTCTGAGTCCAGTGGCACCTTTAAGACTAACGAATTAGTTCTGGGTATAATAAGCTTTTGTGTGCATGCAAGACTTCTTCAGATACCTGCCTTAAAGGTGCCACTAGACTCAAACTTTGTGCAGTCTGATGTCTGGGAAAGGGACCCCTGCATGTAAGCCAGTAATCAAGGCAAACTCTCCCCCAGCTCTGCTGTGGAGCACCATAGGACTGGCCTTTGTTGTGTTGCCTTTGTCCTTTTCCTTTCTGAGATTTATGAGCTCTGTGGTTTCAGTTCAGCACACAGCTATGTTTGGTAGAAGAAGAGGAGGAGGAGTTTGGATTCATACCCCGCCCTTCACTACTCAGAGCGGCTTAGAAGAGAAGAAGAAGAGGAGGAGGAGACTGGATTTATACCCCGCCCTCCACTACCCAAAGGTGTCTCAGAGCGGCTCACAAACTCCTTTCCCTTCCCCTCCCCACAACAGACACCCTGTGAGGTAGGTGGGGCTGAGAGCTCTGACAGAAATGGCTCTTTTTCAAGAGCAGCTGTTACCAGAGCTACGGCTTGCCCAAGGTCATCCAGCCAGGTGCAAGTGGAGGAGGAGTGGGGTATCAAACCCGGTTCTCCCAGATTAGAGTTTGCACACTTAACCACTACACCAAACTGATAGTGTGTGTACCCTAAGTGAATGCACACACCTGGGTTGTGCACTAGCAGCAAAGCGTGTGAACGGGTACCGGTACTAGTGGTCTCATTCAAATGACCAACTAGACTGGATTAATTCCATCTTTCGGACAACAAGAGAGTCATCCTTGTTGTTGTTTTTCCTCTCGGATCAGAAATGCTGAACTGTTGTCATCACACAGATAAAAATATGTTGAAGGAATGGGCTTTTGGTATAGTGGTTAAGAGCAGTGGAGTCTAATCTGGAGAACCGGGTTTGATTTCCTCCTCCTCCTCCACATGCAGCCAGCTGGGTGACCTTGGGTCAGTCACAAGTTTTCTCAGAGATGTTCTCTCCAGAGCAGTCCACAAAAGAGCTCTCTCAGCCTCCCAACTACCTCACAGGGTGTCTGTTGTGGGGAGAGGAAGGGAAAGGAGACTGGAAGCTGCTCTGAGACTCCTGGTGAAGGGCAGGGTATAAACCCAATCTTCTTCTTCTTCTGACTGTTATACTTGCTGCTGCAGGTCGGCGTTAGCATCAAAATGAGCAGTTTCAACCTGACCCGGATAGTCACTTTGACTCCGTTCTACACCATTGCCAACAAGTCTTCCTTTGAATTGGAAGTAGGAGAGGTGGCCGCTGACGGATCACTGCCTACGAATAAGTGGACTTATTTCTCAGCTTCAGAGGTAATCCTTCTCTTTTTTGAAGCAGTTTGTCACTCGTTAAGCTTTTGGTTGAAAGGTTGCTGGAGCGAATGTTCTTTATTTTTTAATCTGTAGCAGAACTCTTGGACTTCTGTGTAATGCTTATTGGGACCAAAGAAAACTCTAACATATCAGTAAACTGAAAGATACCACTCGTCCATTTTCTGTTATCTGGTGCTCTCTGATGGTTATATGCAGAAGCTAAACAATTCCTGCCCACAAACTCTTTGTGCACCGTAAGATGCACTGTAAAGCTACCGGGTAGAATGGGACATCTCGCACGAAACCTGCACAAATGTTGATTCCTTGAGAAAATATATTTTCTAATAAGCAACGGCAGCATGTTGCACATCTTAACCGATTCAAGCCGAAGCTGTTTTTTCTTCACTGCCCAGTGCCTTCCGTTTTGGCCCGAAAACTTGTCCGGCAAGCTGTGCATCAGAGTGATCGGCTACGGGAGGGTGTCCAAGCCGTTCTTCTATAACACACAGGACAACGGGACTTTGCTGAGCCTGGAGGAGCTGGTGAGATGTCGCTGCTTATTATTAGCTCCTTTCTAAAAGTGGTAATTTCCTTTTTGGAAGAGCCAGGAGAAGCCAGAGTTCCTTCACATATTTGCTGTCCTTGCTTCTGCACTGCGTCCTGCTGGGCAATGTACAAGGGGCCATAGGTAAAGGTAAAGGTTCCCCTGCTCGAAAGCCAGTCGAATCCGACTCTAGGGTTGCGGTGCTCATCTCCATTTCAAAGCCGAAGAGCCAGTGCTGTCCAAAGACGTTTCCGTGGTCATGTGGCCGGCATGACTAAACACCAAGGCGCACGGAACGCTGTTACCTTCCCACCGAAGTGGTACCTATTTATCTACTTGCAATTTCTTGCTTTCGAACTGCTAGGTTGGCAGGAGCTGGAACTAGAGACAGGAGCTCACCCTGTCTTGCGGCACCCGGGTCTTGAACCGCTGAACTACTGCCCTTCCACAGCCTGCAGTTCAGCGCAGCTCCATACAAGGGGCCATAGAAACATACAAAACATTAAAATCCAATAATTGTGTCAGAATTTCAAAGGTGCTTGCAGGCTCAAAGTTGGCCACTGGGGCTGGGGAAACCTGACTTTAAACAGTTCTGAACAGAGCTAAAACACATGCCGGGACACAAAAACAACAATCAAAGCACCCGACAGGAAGGAGGGATCACCGAGGGCATAACAAACAAACAAAATATTTGTTGCCTGGTGGTCCAAGAGAAGCTGGAACGAGGATGGGGGGGACCTTGCGTTGTGCCTTTTTAGCACAGCATACATTTCTCTTCCTCCCGACAGAACACAGGCATTCTGGTCGACGTGAATGTGTCGGATCATTCAACAGTTATTAACTTCTCCGACTATCACGAGGGGGATGCTCCCGCTCTGATCATAAACCATACACCCTGCGTTACCCTCAACTACCGGCAAAGGTACGCGAGGGCCTGCTTTCATCTAAGCAGGCTCTGGAGAAAGGGGCCTTGCTGTGGCGCTGGGTTCAGCATTTACCTGGCTTGCACTGTAGCTTGGTTACCATGGTATTCACTTTTGCGGTTCTCTCCCCCCCCCATGCAGTGGGTTACAGGAAGAGACGCAGCTAAAACCACGGGAGGTGAAGTTGTTTGCCTGGGCAGACCCCACCGGAACTAGGAAACTAACCTGGACATATGCACAAACAGTTGGCGAACATGACCTTCTTAAGGTATTGTGTGTGGGTGGGGGAGGGATTTCCAGTTCTTTTAAAGCACCGAACTCCTTGAGAAACCATTAGCACAGTCATGAGTAATATTTTTCAAGTGAGAATAAAGTTGAGTGTATAATATACACTTCCCTTTGGCCTCCTCTGTGTGTGTGTGTGTGTGTGGTGTGCGTGTGCGCGCACGCATATGAGTCCCTTCCCATGTATCATGGCTAGTTTTTGATTTGTATTTATTGAAGTCTTGTGTTCTGTGCATTGTCCCGAGCCAGACAGATAATGCTTGCTTTACTTTACCCCACTGTTTGCTTGTGAGAAAATGCAGTCTAAATTATGGGTACTTCAAAAATGAGACTATTAACTACATTGTAATGGCATTCTCCCCCTGACCTGTGTGGCCCAGGCTAGCCCGATCTCATCAGATCTCAGAAGCTAAGCAGGTTAGTACTTGGATGGGCGACCACCAAGGAACCACAGGGTTTGCTACACAGAGGCAAGCAGTGGCAAACCACCTCTGTCTCTTGCCTTGAGGACCCTATGGGGTTGCTGTAAGTTAAGAACATAAGAACATCAGAAGAGCCCTGCTGGATCAGACCAGTGGGGGTCCATCTAGTCCAGCATCCTGCCTCACACAGTGGCCAACCAGTTCCTCTGGAGGGCCAACAACAAGGCCGAGAGGCCGAGGCCTTCCCCTGATAAGAACCTCAGAAGAGCCCTGTTGGATCAGACCAGTGAGGGTCCATCTAGTCCAGCCTCCTGTCTCACACAGTGGCCAGCCAGTTCCTATGGAGGCCCAACAACAGGGCAGAGAGGAGGAGGCCGTCCCCTGAGGAGAACGTCAGAAGAGCCCTGCTGGATCTGACCAGTGAGGGTCCATCTACTCCAGCATCCCGTCTCACACAGTGGCCAGCCAGTTCCTCTGGAGGGCCAGCAACAAAGCAGAGAGGCTGAGGCCTTTATAAGAACATCAGGAGAGCCCTGCTGGATCAGACCACGTGGCCATCCCTACATCCTCTGGCAGCAAATTGACTTGATGGCACTTTCCTACCCATAGCTCCTTCAGAGTAACTGGTCACTTTTGCCACCCACCCGATGGCTTTTTTGTCCTCCTTTCTCACCCAGGACGAGTGCGGTCAGTTTCCTTACAACTCCAACACCCAGATCCACTGGGTCTCTTTCCTGGATGGGCGTCAGAGGGTGCTGCTTTTCACGGACGACGTTGCCTTAGTTTCCAAAGCGCGGCAAGCTGAGGAGATGGAACAACCCGATCAAGAAATAACCGTGTCTCTTCATAGCCTCGGGCTTTCCCTGGTCAACAATGAAAATAAACAAGAAATCTCTTACATAGGGATTACCAGGTACCGGGCAGAACCAAGAGGGCTTCGTCATTAATGTTTTGAATCAAAAACACAGAGTCGATTCATAGTTTTCTAAAATGGCTGTTTTCTCCAAATTCCTCTGACTGCTTCTTTGGTGATAGGTCAAGATGGGTAGCCGTGTTAGTCCGTAGCAGTAGTAGAAAAGAGCAGTGGCAAAGAGTGAGAGTCCAGGAGCACCTTAAAGGCTAACAGAATTTGTGGCAGGGTATGAGCTTTGTGAGTCGCTGTTCACTTCAAAGAAAGCCTATGAAAAGCTCATAAAGGTCAAGGTTTCCCTTGCTCGAAAGCCAGTCGAACCGGCCTCTAGGGGGCGGTGCTCATCTCCATTTCCAAGCCGAAGAGCCAGCAATGTCCGAAGACTTCTCTGTGGTCATGTGGCCGGCATGACTAGACACCAAGGTGCACGGAGCACTGTGACCTTCCCACCAAAGCGGTACCTATTTATCTGCTTGCAATTTCTTCCTTTCGAACTACTAGGTTGGCAGGAACTGGGGCCAGAGACAGGAGCTCAGTCCGTCATGCGACACTCGGGTCTTGAACGGCCGAGCTACCAACCTTCCGGTCTGCAGCTTAGTGTCTTAACCTCTAAGCCACCGCTGCACCATGAAAGCTCCTACCCTGCCACAAATTTTGTTAGTCTTTAAGGCGCTCCTGGACTCCTGGCTTTTCTTACAGCTTCTTTGGTATATATTTGTAAAACCACCTAAAATTAAACTATCTTTAGAACACTTTCCCTCTGTTGCCCTACAGTTTTTCTCTCTGTGCATCAGCCAGCTATGTCCTGTGTGACCAAAAGGCATAAGCTCGGTTATTTTGGAATTAAACTGTTTTAAAATTATTAATTAGAAATAATGTGTTTTCAGGTAAAATTGTGGAAATATACTGCATTTGCTAATGCTTGATTTTGTTATTAAAACTCTCTTCTGCAGCTCAGGAGTGGTCTGGGAATTCAAACCAAAGCAGAGGTGGAAGCCGTTTAACCAAAAACAGATCAGCCTGTTGGAGCACGCGTATGAGAAGCATCTTTCTGGAGGATATGCAGATCCTTCGGGTTGGCTTCGAGTAGACAATAACCTGGAGGTTTGTTGGGATTTTTCAAATCACGAGGAGTGTGTTGCCTTTTGTAGGAAGGGGTTGTAATTCTGTGGTTAACAGGGCCTTTTCAGCAGTGGCACCTCACCTGTGGAATGTCTTTCCCCTTGAGACTCGCCTGGTGCCTGCTGCTATTCTCGTCAAGGCAACAGTTATTTTTACCTAGACTCTTACTTAAGCGGTTGATCTATCAACACTGTTTTATGGTCTGCTTCTAGCCTGAGAACTGCTATAATCTGTTTTGGGGTCTCCATTGGGGAACAAATGCATGAAGGTATGTAAATCAAGAGACTTGCTTTAAGCTGCTCCGTGTTTTGTATCCTTTTTTTATACTCTGGCTGGGATTTTAATAGTTTAATGTCTGTGTGCCATTTTATGGGTTCTCTGGAGAGCTGGCATAGGAATTTTCTAAGTAAAACAAAAAATTAAATCGCTCCTCTAAATAACTCCTCTACATGGTGAAGTGAGAATGGCAAATTCCAAGTTTTAGCGCAAGTTAAACAGATGTGCACCTTTTTGGTGCAGAATGTACAACAGTTTGCTGTAGGGGTTAAGTGCGCGGACTCTAATCTTGGAGAACCGGGTTTGGGTCCCCACTCCTCCACTTGCAGCTGCTGGATGGCCTTGGGCAAGCCATAGTTCTGTCAGAGCTGTCCTTGAAAGAGCAGTTTCTGTCAGAGCTCTCTCAGCCCCACCTACCTCACCGGGTGTCTGTTGTGGGGAGGGGGAAGGGAAAGGAGTTTGTAAGCCACTCTGAGACTCCGAGTGAAGGGTGAGATATAAATCCAATCTCTTCTCTTATTCTTCTTTCCTAGGTAAACTTCAACAAGATGCCAATGGAAATGCGCCTTCCTGCCAGGTGCAACATCAAGCGAGATTTCTTATCCGGCATCCATATTGAATTCAAACAATCCCCTCATCAGCGGAGCTTACGGGCCCAGTTATACTGGCTGCAGGTATAAGTTTTGCAATGTGCCATTTTGTTTCTGTTGGAAAGGACACCCAGCCCCCTCTCTGCTAGGACGCTAGAACTTTTTAAAAGACCCGCTTTGGGGGCTGTGTTACACCAACTCTATGCTGGATTTGCCTGTGCTTGATATTTTTGAGATTTGATTAGAGGGGAGTGGTTCTTGGAAAGATTGTGGTTTGGGAGTGAAGTTTTGTAAACTACTCAGAGTTGTAAAAACGTTTTGTCAAAATGGGAGATTTACAAAATTTGGGCGTGTTTTTTTTTTTGCACAGCCCTTAATCTGTTTCAGCCCGTTTCTAATTGGCTGTTCCTAAAACGGTTTTGCTGTGTTGATAAGGACACGGCTTCTAGACTGGGTGATCAAGCTAAAGCAGTTTAAACGTCTAAGGTGCAGCTAAAAGAGGCTTCAGCACCGAAGAGGTCACACGATGTTTCTGCATTCTCTTAAAAGGTCGATAACCAGTTGCCCGGCTCAATGTTTCCTGTTGTCTTCCATCCTGTCGCTCCTCCCAAATCCATAGCCTTGGATTCAGGTAACCGTAATCAAAGATTCCCAGCTGCACATTTCACCGACAAACGGTACACTCCCAAATTTCTTAGCCCTCTCTCATTTGTTCGTAGAACCAAAACCGTTCATCGACGTTAGCATCATCACTAGATTCAACGAGTACAGTAAAGTGTTGCAGTTCAAGTAAGTGAAGTCATTAACTGGGATGACCTGATGTTTCAAATATTTCTCTTGTGTGTGTCATTTCCCCCGGGAGAGGAGAGATCTTAAGTCTGTGATGTTAGCTGGGATGGAGCCATTCTCCCTCTGAGGAGAGGCATTTGATTTTTTTTAACCCACAAAACAGCGAAGAACCGGAATTGCTGAATTAAAGCTATTTTAGCCGAACTGACTTTATTTATATGTGTTATTTGTACCCAGGGCTTTTTTTGTAGAAAAAGCCCAGCAGGAACTCATTAGAATAACAGGCCACACCCAACAGCAGAAACTCATTAGCATAGTAGGCCACACCCTGACAGCACATCACATTAGCATATTAGGCCACCCCCCCATGTCACCAGAAGTGTGGTTATCCAGCCACACCCACCTTTTGCTTCTTATTCTGTTTACCTTGTTTGTTGTCAAAACCCAGGGCTTTTTTTGTAGCAGGAACTTCTTTGCATGTTAGGCCACACACCCCTAATGTAGCCAGTCCTAATGAGTTTCTTGGGTGTTGTCTATTATGCTAATGAGTTCCTGCTGGGCGTGGCCAACTCAGGAGCCAGCCGGAACTCTGTTCCTGTGCGTTCCTGCCCCAAAATAGCCCTGTTTGTACCCCGTTTTCCTCCCTGATGGGGACCCAGAGCGGCTTTCATTGTTCTCCTCTCCTCCATTTTATTTAGGTTAGGCTTGGGAGAGTGTGACTAGACTACTGCAACGCTCGCTACATGGGGCTGCCCTTGTCACAACTCCGGAAGCTGCAGCTGGTGCAAAACATGGCGGCCAGGCTGCTGATGGATCTCCCTACGCGGGAGCACATCCAGCCTGTGCTAAAGGCATTGCATTGGCTGCCAATAGCATACCGGTTTTGACCTTTAAAGCCCTGCAAGGTGCTGGTTTTGACCTTTAAAGCCCTACATGGCCCGGGGCCTGCCTACCTGAGGGACCACCTTTCCCCGCAAGTCCCCCGGAGAGCACTGAGGTCAGGGTCTCAAAACTGTTTGGCCCTCCCTGGACTGAAGGACGCCAGACTGGCCTCTACCAGGTCCAGGGCCTTCTCAGTGGCGGCTCCATACTGGTGGTATGAGCTCCCGGAAGACATCAGGGCCCTGCGGGACCTTCTACAGTTCCGCAGGGCCTGTAAAATGGAGCTCTTTCACCAGGCCTTCGACTAGGAGCCGCTGCTAACAATAATAACTGACTTGTCAAGGCCCTCTATGCTCACACCAGCAGCCTGTCATGCCGGACACTGACGGGGGCCATACTTTGGATCATCCTATCATGGCCCGGGATGTTACCGCCACCAGCACTTCTGTTCTGTATCGTGATTTGTTATATCTCTGTGTTTTATGAAGCTGTATCGCACTAATAGGCATTTGTGTTTTGATATATTTTTAATCCTTTTCTTTTTTATCTATCTATTTATTTATTTGTATTTATAGCCTGCCCATCCTGCAAGCGGGCTCAGGTCCCATCCTAAAAACAGTGCAATGAATACGATTAAAATTAAACAAGTTAGCAATTTAAACAATAATAAACATTAAAACCCAGTCACACTTCTGACAGTCACCGGTTGTATGGTTCTTTGACATATTATTTGAGTTAACAGATGGATAGGTGGGTGGGTGACAGCCACCTCAGGGAGGCCATATATGGGCGCCCGCTGCCTCAGCCAAAGGCCCGGCGGAAGAGCTCCGTCTTACAGGCCCCGCGGAACTGAAGAAGATCCCGCAGGGCCCTCATCTCGGCTGGGAGCCTGTCCCGCCAGGGCGGAAAAGGCCCTGGCCCTGGTCGAGGCGAGACAGATGTCCTTTGGCAGGCCCGTAGCGAACGTGGAGGCCCCTTGCTGTTTTTGCGGGCCCCTCCCCCGATACTCAGCTCCCTCTCCCTCCCTTTGGCCCCTTCACCCCAATTGATTCCCTCACGAATATGAGCCAGCATCTCCCTGTTTGAGCTCACCTGCAATGAGCTGAGTCTCTTTAGGACCTAGCAGCAACTGTTGGTTGACCGAGTCACACACACACATTGGTCGGATTGCCGCAGTTCACGCCTCCTGTTGGGTTTTCTGCACCAGGCTTCAGCAAAGATCGTTGGCTCCGGGAAGGAGGGAGGGAGGAAGGTCAATCCCCACTCTCCTTTTTTTTTTTAAACACAGCAGCTTTGCTAGACCCCTGAGGAGCCTTAGTGTCTATTAACATTGGGATTCTGGCTCGCCTCAGAGGAAGGTTGTAGTGGGGGCTGTGTGGGTGCGCGCCAAGCAGATGCCCCCCTTTGCCCGGGAGCCTTTGATTTAATTAGCTGGTGGGCCCCCCCCAAGGCCCCCTCCCCCAAAAAAACCCTAGCTACGGGGCTGTCCTTTGGGCCGGGGACAAACAGGAGACGTTTAGCCATGGAGCGTAACGCTCTTCGGGGCGTATATGTAAGCCGCCCTGAGCCTGCCTTGGCAAGGGAGGGCAGGATAAAAATCGAATAACTAAATGGATAAATAAAGGCCACCCAGCTTTCTTCAATGAGACTGAAACCGTTCGAGTCAAAAGTACGTTGGTCTCAGGGTTCTACAGCCTGTTGACAGGAGACGGCCTTCCACGGTGCAGTCCTAACGAAAGCTACAGTACTCTGTTTAGGACTGCCCTGTCTGGAGCTTTATGGCTAACGGCTTCCTCACAGCCCTATTGGGGGTTTTTTTTCCTTCAGAAAGCTCTTGACTCAGTAGGCACCCTACGGGTAGATGTTCGTGGTTTTGGGTTACATCCCTGTCCTCCTAAAAACCGCCGAGCCAGTCAAGCCATTGCCCTTTTCTTCTCCAGATATTTCATGGTTCTCATCCAAGAGATGGCGCTGAAAATAGACCAAGGATTTTTAGGAGCTGTGATTGGATTTGCCACTCCATCTACAGACCCAGAAGCTGAGAGACAGAAGGTAATAAGGTGGCCTTAGGCGTGTCTGTGGTTGTTTGGTAGCCTGCTTTTTTGAATCTGCCAGTCTGTTAAGCGATGCTCCCTCTAAGCTGTGGAGTCTCATGAGCAAAAATTCCGCTTTGTGAACCCCTGGCATTAAAGTCGTGAGCGAGAGATCTGGCTGCTGCATCAGTTAGTTTGCTCTGGAGCCCTCCTTCCTGAGCGAAGTAAAAAATGTGTGAGCCGGAGGCTAAAAAAACTGTGAGTTAGCTCACACTCACTCAGCTTAGAGGGAACACTGCTGTTAAGTATTATGCATGACAGACCTGTGCAAATGTTGGAAGTAAAAGTGGAATCGTAGAGGCCTCTTTCAGAGGTCACAAACCAATTGTGGTTTCATCGGGGTGAAAGTCATCCCAGAAGGAGAGCCAGCGTGGTGTAACGGTTAAGAGCAACAGACTCTAATCTGGAGATCTGGGTTTGATTCCGCACTCCTCCACTTGAAGCCAGCTGGGTGACCTCAGGTCAGTCCCAGCTCTCTCAGGCAAAAGAATAAGTCTGTCTCACCACCTAGTGGTGCGTAATGTTAAACAGCTAGAACTTAAGCTTGGCAGACAATCTGGATCTCCTGGCTATACTACACACAATGCCATATGATAATTATTAATTATTATTCATCCCAGAAGGCCTTGGTCCCACATGCTGCTTCCCCCTTCCCCCTTCGTCCTTTTGTACACTGTGCCAAGACTGAAGACTGGTTGTGACCTCTGAGTCGGGGGCTTTAATGACTCACTGCATGTTTGTGGCCTGTAAACCAGGATTGTCGGTAGTCTAATCCTGCAGTTGGATCTGATAGATCCACTGATCTCAGGTTTCTTCAGCGCAGGGAGTCTTCCCCTGACAGAGGAGGTTCCTCAGTCTCTCGTGTCAGGGGAGACGGCTCCTTGAGTCTGGGGAAGGTGGTACCATTAGTGGACTGGATCTGCGGGATCCAGATTCTGACTTCTTAGATGACAAACCATCAGTCGAGGCGCCTGGTTCAGATGCCACAGACATTTCGGTCGGTTCTAAACCAAGAAGACTTCAGTCTGAGCAAGGGAGAGGAGAAGAAGTAGAAGAAGAGACTGGATTTCTACCCCGCCCTTTACTACCCAAAGGAGTCTCAGAGCAGCTTTCGAACTCCTTTCCCCTTCCCCTCCCCTTCCCCACCCTGTGAGGTCGGTGGGGCTGAGAGAGCTCTGACAGTAACTGCCCTTGAGAGAACAGCTCTGAGAGAACTTGTGACTGACCCAAGGTCACACCAGCAGGTGCAAGTGAAGAAGGAGTGGGGAATCAAACCCGGTTCTCCCAGATTAGAGTCCGCCGCTCTTAACCACTACACCAAACTGGGGCAGGGGATGGGGCCTCTGAGCAATTATATTCTCTTGACGATAAGCCATTACTATGTCGGCTACTCATGTCTTTTCCTCCTGTGAGTTCTCCTGAGTCCTTTTGAGTTGTGTTTCAGGGACCCCCCCTAGGCTGCAGCAGGAAATGGGGGAGTTGGGAAAACTCTGCCCCTAAGTGGAGCGCCCGTCTACTCGAGGTCCTTAGAACAGTACCCAGTGTCCTCAGACTGGCCCTGAGTTCTGATCTTTTGTCACTTGGTGTTAAATGAAAGAACCGGAATGAAAACCCGTCATGTTATACACCAGGGGTGGCAAACATGCGGCCGGGGGGCCGGGTGAGGCCCCCGGAGGGCTTCCATCAGGCCCGCGGTGGAACTGGTCATCTCCTGCTTCCAGTTCTGCTGCTGCATCACAGCTTTCTTCACCAGACTCTCTTAATCACTCAGCCATTTCATGTTTTGACCTGGGTCCTAGACTCAGAACTCTGAGCATGAGATTTCTGTGGCGAATGTCAATAAATCAAAAGTAGGTTTGCAGCTTACAGATACACACTTGAACAGCGTACTCAGGATTGCGACAGCACAGACATTTTGATGCAACAATTCAGAGCAAGAGCTGTCAGTTATCAGAGACTGTTAAATAAACAAAATATTGCAAGAGTGCTCATGTTTTAAGCATTTTTTTATTTTAAGTAAAAGAAATCTTTGTGTTTGTGTCCTTTATAAACTTTATATCTCCGCTAGCTGGCATTACATTTATGACACACAGGGCCCGGCCCAACAAAGTCTCATTTTTGTCAGATCTGGCCCTCATAACAAATGAGTTTGACACCCCTGTTATGCATGTTGTGTAAATGGCTCACGTAACCGTCTTTCGTCAAGGAAAGCCTTTGTGCAAAACCTCTGGTCAGTCTTTGACAGCTCAAACTGGTCAAGCTTGAACATCATTGAGGGTGTCTTTAATTCTCCTTCCGTTGCAGACAAAGTTGATTCAAAAGGACATAGATGCTCTTAACACAGAGTTGATGGAGTCATCCATGACGGACATGTCCACCCTTAGCTTCTTCGAGCACTTCCATATTTCTCCCGTGAAGGTGAGTTTGGAAAATGCCGCTTTTGGATGGTGGCGCCAGAAACTAGACTTGCTGTATTGGGCTTCCTGATGTTGCGGTATAAGATTAGGAATAAACTTAAATCGTTGTGTTGCTTCAGTAAATTGCCACAGAGAGCTGCAGAGCTTTGATAAACAGTCTCACGTAAGCCGGGATGCCTCAGTATTTATTCTAGATGTCCTCGCTTCTCTGTACAATTGCTGACGCTGTGCACAGCTTAGGTAATGCTTACAGAACCCCCCTGTCATTCTCTCCACTGGCCACAGCCTGAGCACCGTCCTTGATCGTAGCTTGTGCTTCGTGGCTCCTTCCTCGTTTTCCTTGTTTACCACCTCACAGCTTGCCCAGTGGGGAGAGGACTACGCTGTGTCTCTCGGTTGCATTCTTGCTCTGCTCCTGTCTGTGGTAAATTAATTTCTCCCCCCATTAGCTAGCTAACTAGATGGAAGGAAATCTCTCTCCTGGGTTCCTTCAGAGTAATTGCTGGAACCAGTCTTTAAGTTGCGAGAGAACTTGGGTAGAGATTCAATTCTCCGAGCCTAGAGCAGAGTTGTACTTTAGTTACATGTTACTCCCGTAAGCTGATTTTTCTCTAATGTGTACGAAAGTGGTAGGGACCCTCCAGTGTTTTTCTAGTTCCAGCTCCTGCAAGAAATTGCAAGTAGATAAATAGGTACCACTTCGGTGGGAAGGTAACAGCGTTCCGTGCACCTTGGTGTTTAGTCATGCCGGCCACATGACCATGGAAACGTCTTCGGACAGCGCTGGCTCTTCGGCTTGGAAATGGAGATGTGCACCGCAACCCTAGAGTCGGATTCGACTTGCTTTCGAGCAAGGGAACCTTTGCCTTTTTTGGCTCCTCCACTATTTTTCTGCTTTCGACCCTCACGTGTAAAAGGTCTCGATTTGTCCTTGAAATAAATGCCTTGAATTAGGCAGGACAGGTTGCAGACAAAGAAGTCCACATGAATCAGGCGCTTGGGCAGACCTCTCTGGTGTTTCTGCTACTGAGACTTTAATTCGTTGGCAGCCGTCTCTGCCGCCATGAACAATACAAGTTGCCAACAAAGTTGGCCGATCTTGGAAGCAGAGTCAGAATAAGTGGAACAGCGCCAAAAGCCAAGAAGGGAGCAGGTCATGATCCTGAAAACCCTTTCTCGAGATAGTTTTTTGAATGCTGTCATGGCTCAGGTGGGGTGTCACCTGACGCTGCCACCACCCTGGTTCCAGGCTCCTCTGAGGAGGCCCAGAGCAGCCTCTCAGGCCTTTAGACCTCCCTTTTGGCCGAATAATGGGTGTGAGGACCAGGCAGAGTGAACAATGAAAATAGTTTATTGTATAGGAGGTCAAACAAACAAGGTGCAGAATTATAACAGTAAGCGGGTGAAAAGAAATCAAATGCCCCAACGCGTCTAAATATATACTGTCCCTAGCTCACTATTTTATTTGACACTAGACTACTCACCCTTCCCTCAGGATGAGGGTTTCTTCCTGCAGCAGCCTTCCTTCTGGCTCTGCCCTCTGGAAGAAAGAACAACTTCTGCTCTGGCACCAGCCCTTTTGTTCCCCAGCCCTCCTCTTCCCTATTGGTCAGTTTTGGCTCCAAAACCTCTCAGGGGCTTCTGGGAGTTGTAGGCCCAGCCTCACCTACTGCTAGCCAGGCTCCCTGGGCCTAGTAGGCCTCTGGTGGCACAGCCCAGATCATGACAAATGTGCCCACGCATATAAAGTCTTTCTCCTCTGTTGTAGCAGTGTATGGCCCTTTTAAAAAACCCACAAAATACACCCCAGGAAGGTTTCTGAAATACATGGGAATTTTTAATCCATCATCTAGGAAATACATTCTATAGGTGTCACTTTGGATAACCTCTGCATGTTAAGTGAAACGCGGGCATTTAGAATTTTGAAACAGAGGATTTTGGATATTGAGAAACAGACTGTCTGTTCTCTTGAACACAAAACTTGCTCCGCTTTAGCATTTGGTATCTCTCCAGAATATGGACTGCCTGCTGCTTACCTCTCCCAGATTACCTCACCCTAGTTACGCCACTCTTTTATGTTAGCAAGACTCAGTGTTTTACCCCCAGCGGTGTCGTCTGGGGGGTTTGCTAACACTCCCTGTCAAGAAAGACTTTGTCCATGTAAAGGAAGGCACCCCAGAAACGGTAGCCCACATTCTACTTCGTTGTGATTTCTATGGGGAAGTGCAGGACTGTGTAATTAAACCTATGGTGTCTAACTTTCACGGTCTATCTGAGGCGAAGTTCGTATCTCTTTTACTATCTGACTGATGTTCCCACATTATAAGTTCAGTTGCAAGGTACCTTCTGGCTGCCATAACAATCAGGGAGCAAAAGTCTGGCTTTTCTATGTGATGCTTGATAGTTTTTATAGTTGAAATTCTCTGTTGATTGGCCATGCTGTGCCTTTTTACTTTTTATGCCAATAAAGGTCTTTGGATTGGATTGGATAATCCATCATCTAATCCTTACTGGCTTCACTTTATGCCTGCTTCAATCTTGAAAAGGGCGGGCAGGATAGGCGTAACTTTTGCCACTTCCTTCCTCTGCCTCGACTCCACCTTAATTATTTCATCCCCGTTAGCACACACCCAAAATTTGCATCCTTCTCTCCTTGGAAATGCGCCATAAAAAGAGTAGCAAATAGAAACGGTGTAACCTCCCTCATGTTGGAGACGCTAAGGATACAGTGTGCGTGTTAAACTAAGAGCACATCCAGACCCCGGCTTATATAAGAAAGTTTTTGAGACGCTCAGTTAACAAGCTCTTTGGGAATCCCTCTGGCTATCTTTTGTTGGCAGTCCTTTCGACACTGCGGGAGAGGAAATGGAAATTTAATTAGCTAGCAGGAGGAGGTCTCCGGGAGAGCTATTGAATTTAATGTGAATCTTCCCGGCATACCATGTAAACATGGATATTGTGTCCTGAAAGGGAACACAAACAACCCAGTGACTATCAGTACAGCTTAGTGCTTTAAAATGTTGTCACAAATAAGCTACTCGAGGTTTAGGGTAGGGACTCCCCTCCCATCCGTATGCTGTCTAGATCTCTACGTTGTGTTTTCACCAACCGGCGCTTAGTAGGATGCTGAGTGTAACCTCCAAGGTTTGTGTCCGGCCGTTGTGTTCTTCTTGTTAGCTACATCTGAGCCTTTCTTTGGGCGCTGGAGGAGAAGAATCCGACAAAGGCAAAGAGGAGATCGCCATACATTCTGTTAACCTGCTGCTGAAGAGCATTGGGGCCACTCTGACAGATGTGGATGACCTTATATTCAAGTGAGTGGACGAAACGCCTCCCGCTTTGGTGTAGCGGTTAGGAACACGGACTCTAATCTGGGAGAACCGGGTTTGATTCCCCACTCCTCCTCCACATGCAGCTGCTGGAGTGACCTTGGGTCAGTCACCAGTTCTCTCAGAGCTGTTCTCTCAAGAGCAGTCCTCGAAAGAGCTCTCTCGGCCCCACCTGCCTCACAGGCAGTATTCCCTCTAAGTTGCGTTAGTGTAAGCTCACAGGCAATGCTCCTTCTAAGCTGTGGAGTCTTGTGAGCAAAAATTCTACTTTGTGAGCTACTGGCATTAAAGTTGTGAGTGAGCGATTTGGAGCCATCCCTTCCTGAGCTAAGACAAAAATGTGTGAGCCAGAGGCTAAAAAACGGTGAGCTAGCTCACACTAACTCAGCTTAGAGGGAACACTGCTCACAGGGTATCTGTTGTGGGAAGGGGAAGCAGATTGTAAGCTGCTCTGAGACTCCTTCGAGTAGCGAACGGCGGGGTATAAATCCCATCTCCTCCTCCTCTTCTGTTTCTGTGGTCTCTTGTTAGGGACTCAGGCAAAACGGTTGCAATATCAGTCGGCTATAATAGTTCCATAGCTAAGAAACTGATGGTTCTGGGTATTTTGTAGAACAGGCGTGGTCTGGCAACAGGAGCGCAGGCCAGTTCATAGGCTACTTACGGGTATTTTAGCTGCATAGAATAGATACAGGCGAATGGTAAGTCAAGGGAGTAAATCACGAAGGCACCTCACCTCCACCCCAGTTCAAATCTCTCATCCTTAAGCCTCCCCCCCCCCATGCCGCAGTCGGTAACTCCGGGGAGAACTTTGGTCTACTCTTCAGCGTTGTCTGAACTAGCAGAGTTGAAGTGTTAGGAGATGCAGGCTCCTTCTCCCTCTTCTTTTCAGGCTGGCCTTCTTCGAAATCAAGTACCAGTTTTACAGAAGGGATCAGTTGATGTGGAAAGTCATCACACACTATAGTGAACAAGTAAGCTCGTCTCCCTTTGGCCGTGGGGATCCTCTGTGTTTCTGAAGAAGCTTCCTTGTGGATCTTAAGCAGTGCAGTGCAACATTCTCCAGTGCCTTTCCTAAACCCCGAAGCACGCACGCCTTCGTTCAGTCAGAGTCAGGGCCCCGTGAAGTTACAACAGACCCCAACAATATGCACAGATTCTGTTGTGTTGTAGGCCGGGTATAACCCTGCTGTCCAGCTACTGTTACTCCCGGCATGAAGAACAGCCGATATCCAATCAGTTGCTTTTTATTCATCAGTTGTATTTATTTAATATCGGAATTGGAGGGGAGAGACAGGGCCATCTAGTCCAACCCGCTGTCAGCACAAAAACGATATCTATAATATCCCTGACAAGTAGGTATCTGACCCTGTTTGGTGTAGTGGTTAGAAGCGTGGACTCTGATCTGGGAGAACCAGGTTTGATTCCCCACTCCTACACATCCAGCTGCTGGCGTGACCTAGGGTCCATCGATGGCTCTCTCAGTGCTACTCTCTCAGGAGCAGTCCTCGAAAGAGCTCTCTCGGCCCCACCTACCTCACAGGGAAGGGAAGGAGATTGTAAGCTGCTCTGAGACTCCTTCGCGTAGTGAAGGGCTGGGCATAAATCCAGTCTTTTCTTTTCTCTACTTAAAAATCTCCAATGACAAAGGCTCCACCAGTTCACAAGGGAGACTGTTCCAGAGTTGAACATAACTCACCATCAGAAATCTAAACCATCAGATTTAGAGGAAATCTCCTTTTCTGTAGCTCGGATCCATTAGTCAGAGTCTCGTCATCCAACACAACTGAAAACATACCCGCCCCATCCTCCGCATGGTATCCCTTAGGTATCAGAAGGTGGCAGTCATATCCCCTCACAAGCTTCTCTTCGGCGAGGTAGAGCTTCTCGGCTCCTTCAGCCTCTCCTCGTAAGACGCGGTCTCCAAACTCTTCACTGGCTTCGTCCCCCTGCGCCGGACCCTTTCTGCCTTATCAATGTCCTTGTGTTCCGCCTTCTCACTGCAGTTCTTGAAGCAGATGTACGTGTTGGTGCTGGGCTTGGACGTCCTGGGAAATCCCTTTGGCTTAATCAGAGGCTTGTCGGAGGGCGTGGAGGCTTTCTTCTATGAGCCTTTCCAGGTAGGATGCCACCGTGCCCCGGGCACCAGTATTCTCATAAACAGAGAGAGGGAGAGTACCCGCCTGCTCCTCAAAATGAATAAAGGGGTTATCGTTCCTCCCCAGGGGGCTGTCCAAGGACCCGAGGAGTTTGCCGAGGGCTTTGTGATCGGAGTCCGAAGTCTGCTGGGTCACACCGTGGGTACGTTGAGCACCTCACCAATTCACCCGTGTTGTGTTTTCAGGGTAGGGTGTGTTGGGTCGCCGCACTGCATTCCTTCCGTGTTTAATCTGAGGATTTGGCTCCTGCCTGAATTGGAATCCTTCACGCGTGGGTCGCAAGCAGTGCTCCCTCTAAGCTGTGGAGTCTCGTGAGCAAAAATTCTGCTGTGTGAGCGACTGGCATTAAAAGTTGTGAGCGAGCGATTTGGCTGCTGCATAAATCAGTTTGCTCTGGAGCCATCCTTCCTGAGCTAAGACAAAAATGTGTGAGCCGGAGGCTAAAAAAACTGTGAGCTAGCTCACACTAACTCAGATTAGAGGGAACACTATTGAGCTCCTGGCATGAAAGTTGTGAGCAAGCAATTTGGCTACTGCATAAATTAGTTTGCTCTGGAGCCATCCTTCCTGAGCATAGAAAAAAATACGTGAGCCAGAGGCTAAAAAACTGTGAGCTAGCTCACACTAACTCATCTTAGAGCGAACACTGGTCCAATGCTCCCTCTAAGCTGTGGGGTCTTGTGAGCAAAAATTCCACTTTGTAAACTACTGGCATTAAAGTTGTGAGCGAGCGAGTTGGCTATTGTGTAGATTAGTCTGCTCTGGAGCCATCCTTCCTGAGCAAAGACACAAATGTGTGAGCCGGAGGCTAAAAAACTGTGAGCTGGCTCACACTAAACTCGGCTTAGAGGGAACACCGGCTGCCAGTCTTTTTCATTGCTGACCGACGGTTTCACGTCTGTCTCGGAGAGTAGCCGAGTCTCACGATCCTCCTCTCTTTGACTGACAGGTGGAGCGGCAGGCATGGTGTCTCGGATCACCGGCTCAGTCGGAAAGGGCCTGGCCGCCATCACCATGGACAAGGAGTACCAGCAGAAGAGGAGAGAGGAGATGGGCCGTCAGCCCAAGGACTTCGGGGACAGCCTCGCCAAAGGAGGGAAAGGCTTTCTGAGAGTAGGGTCCTTAAACATTTTCCGGACTTACGGGGAAGGCTTAAGAAATCCGGTCCGTTTGCTCGAGGGCCTTCGTGCTCCCGCTGTGCTGAATCAGTCCTCGGTGGTGCTTCCACAGGGGCTCGCGAGCCATTCCGTGCCGGGCTCCTCCGGGCTCCTGTTTGCCCCCGTGGCCCCCCAGACCAGCAGCAAGCGAAGAACCGGTTGAGGCAGTTGAGTTTGTGTCTCCATTTCAGACACATTGAGGGGTTGAGTCCCGCTTCTCGTGGGCACTTTTGGAGACGGGGAAGTGCCACAGTCTGGGCACGTGAAAGACGATTAGGGTCTAACTCTGGGGTCCCCAGCGTGTAGTGCCTACGGGTGCTGTGGCACCTGCCGACACCTCTCTTGGTGCCCACCAAGTGTTTTTAGAAAGTGAGCGGGGCCAGTTAGGGTCCTTGCCCGGCAGGGCTTCTGATTGGCTACGCATATTAAACTTAGCAGGGGTTTTTTCCAGCGGCAGCCGCCCGCCACAGCGAGAGCCAGTTTGGTGTCGTGGTTAAGTGCGCAGACTCTAATCTGGGAGAACCGGGTTTGGTTCCCCACTCCTCCACTTGCACCTGCTGGATGACCTTGGGCAAGCCGTAGTTCTGGCAGAGCTGTCCTTGAAAAAGAGCCGTTTCTTTCAGAGCTCTCTCAGCCTCACTTACCTCACAGGTGGTGTCTGTTGTGGGGAGGGGGAGAGAAAGGAGACTGTAAGCCGCTCTGAGACTCCTTTGGACAGTGAAGGGTGGGGTATAAATCCAATCTCCTCCTCTTCCTCTTCTTTTTCCTCTTCCTCTTTTTCTTCTTCTCCTCCTCTCTCACACACATCCCTTTCCCAGTGTATTTTTTCAACTACCTCTCTTCTCTCCTGTGCTCGGGCTTCCCCCGCGTGTGTGGCTTTACTGTCCCACGGCAGCTCTTGTTTGCTTCCACCCGCTCTCCTGTGTCAGTTCCAAAGGTATCGATCACGACAGAGAAAAGCTGCAGATAGCGCGCCTGAAATAACCTTATGTTTTCTGTTCTCAATATGGTAACATCAATACAACAAAAACAATGCAGATAGTGTAAAGAGGTCCAAAAGTTGTTGTTGTTGTTGACGAAATTCTCCAGATTGCGGCGTCGTTTCGAAAAAGCTTCACCCGAACAGGACACTGCGCAGCTGTATCTTTTGGCCTTATTCCGTGACCAGTTGAAAAACAGTTCCTGAGTTATTTCATGAGAAATCTCAATATTTTTCATAATAATCCAAAGTGCTTCTGTCATTCAAAGCGGGCCATCTGTGTGAAGGTTATCTCAAGTGCACCGTCTGCGGCTTTTCTCTGTCATGAGTCTAATGTTCCCTCTAAGCTGTGGAGTCTTGTGAGCAAAAATTCTACTTTGTGAGCTGCTGCCATTAAAGTTGTGAGCGAGCGGTTTGGCTGCTGCATAGATTAGTTTGCTCTGGAGCCCCATCCTTCCTGAGCTAAGAAAAAAATATGTGAGCCAGAGGCTAAAAAACTGTGAGCTAGCTCACACTCACTCAGCTTAGAGGGAACAGTAGTCATGACCCATGCTCTTATGAGCTGTGATTCTCTAATAGAATAATTCCAGAGGTGCCCGCGGGCCGGAAAAGGTTGGGACTCCCGGCCCAACGCGACCCTCTGAGAGAGAGAGAGAATGCCCATGTCCGTTCCCCCCCCCCCGGTGTCTCTTCCCCTGTCTTCCTTGAAGCGTCTTGTTGAACCCAGTGCGTGTTGTGGTGCCATTGCGCTGTGCGCGGGCCAGTGGGGGCAAGGGGAGCACAGCATGCGTTGTGACGACAACCCTCGTCTCGTTCAACAAGGGACGGCGAGGAAGGGCGGGGGAAGGGACAGGACCCCGTCTGTGTTTGCGTCCGTGGAGGAAGGCTTCCTGCAGGTGGGTGGCACCTCCTCCTGGTCCCAACGGACTGTTTGTTATCCTCTGCAATGTGTGTGTGTGGAGGGGGGGGTCCCTTTAGATGGGGGGGGCAGGATTTCGGGTGTAGAGAAATTTCCTCTTTGCCATCTCGACCAGGCTAAGCGCGCTGTTTCCCTGTTCACTCTCTGTCTGCCTTGTGCGTATTTATGTCACCCTTCCTCCCGAGGTTCGCTCTTCTCCCTTTTATTCTCACAGCAGCTCTGTCAGGTAGGTTGTGCTGAGAGGCAGTGCCCGACCCAGGGTCACCTGCCACACTTCCGTGGCGGCGTGGGGGGCTCTCTGTATTAATGGAAGGTTTTAGTCTAAAAGGCATACTGTATAGAATGTATTATTTTCTATCAGGGTGGGGGCTCTGGGCCCAACGGGCCACTGCGCCAGGCTCAAGTCAGCTTGCGGATTTGGGGGAACCGGCACCAGAGGCACCGTTGCGAATGAAAACCTTTTCCGTGCTGACCTCCGCTTCCTTTTCTCTCTCTTTTCGAAGGGCGTTGTCGGGGGAGTAACTGGGATCGTCACAAAGCCCATGGAAGGTGAGCAAAAGGATTTCTGTAACGTAAAGGTAAAGGGTTCCCCTTGCTTGAAAGCCAGTCGAATCCGACTCTAGGGGGCGGTGCTCATCTCCGTTTCAAAGCCGAAGAGCCAGCGCTGTCCAAAGAGTTTTTCCATGGTCATGTGACCGACATGACTAAACGTCGGGGCACATGGCAGGAGCCGGGGCCAGCGACGGGAGCTCACTCTGTCATGCCACACTCGGGTGATTCCATACATATTTTTTAAGAAATGATTTGGAAAATATTTGAACACCTTGTCTTAAAAGCTTTCATCCATCATGTTAAAATAAAACGTTCCATAATCATTTTTTTTCTCCCCCCCCCCCAATTTTTCGGGAAAAAACAAAGAAGGCTTCAGGGGGAAAAAATGGGGGGAAACACACACACACACCTGGATTTTTCCAGGTTTTTTTCCGGGCCTTCACGTCTCTAGTTGGAGCAGAAAGCTCGAAGCTCTGGTAGCTCTCCTGTTGCCCTAGAATATGGGGGCGGGCTTGGTAGGATGTAGGGTGGCGACTCTGCTTGCGGGTGAGTCGATCGCTTGGCCTCGGGGGGTCTGGTTCGCCCATCCTCACCTGTGTCTCTTTGCCTGGAAGGTGCCAAAAAGGAAGGCGCGGCTGGCTTCTTCAAGGGCATCGGGAAGGGCCTGGTCGGCGTGGTGGCACGCCCCACCGGGGGCATCATCGACATGGCCAGCAGCACATTCCAAGGGATCCAGAGGTAAGAAGAAGAAGAAGAAATTGGATTTATACCCCGCCCTTCACCTGGGAGTCTCAGAGTGGCTTACAATCTCCTTTCCCTTCCCATCCCCACAACAGACGCCCTGTGAGGTGGGCGTGGCTGAGAGACCTCTCTTGAGAACTGCCCTTTCAAGGACAGCTCTTGTCAGAACTGTGGCTTGCCCAAGGTCATCCAGCAGCTGCAAGTGGAGGAGTGGGGAATCAAACCCGGTTCTCCCAGATTAGAGTCCCCGCACTTAACCACGCCACCAAACTGATAAAAGCGGCCGGGGTTCTCGGGGCTGGCTGCCTTCACTGAGTGAGAAAAGAGTTGCCGAATGCTCAAGTGCATCTTCAGCCCCGCTTCTCTGCCATCTGAGCCACGGACCAGAGAGAAGCCTGCAGCCCCCAGGTCTGTCCGCCCCACTCATCCAGTGACGGGCTGGTCCCTGGGGGTGGGCGCGCTGCAGGAAGCTGCTTGCGAGCTGACTGGCTGTCAGCCAGTGCTGGGCCCGAATATCCCTTCCTCCCCTGGCGCAAATGATGCTCCAGCTTAAGGTGGAGAGTTCAATCCCCATCTTCTTGCAAGGCTTCTGGGGTCCCGGCCCCACCGGTAGACCTCCTGAGGGCCCCTGGTACTTCTGGCCACTGTGTGATGTAGAGTGTTGGACTGGATGGGCCACTGGCCTGATCCAACATTGGCTTCTCTCTTGTGTTCTTATGTCTGGGGCAGTGATGCTCTGTCTTCTTGGTGCTGGGGGGGGCAACAGTGGGAGGGCTTCTAGCGTCCTGGCCCCACTGCTGGACCTCCTGATGGTACCTGGTGTTTCTGGCCAGTGTGTTGGACTGGAGGGGCCACTGGCCTGATGATACAACATGGCTTCTCTTGTATTCTTATGATTGTCTGACAACAGGATCTCACTCTGTCTAGAATACAGTGTGTCGGGCTAAATTAAGGGCCAGTTCCTGCGTGTGTCCAACTGGCACGGTGTAGGTGCAGGAATGTGACTCCAGGGCACATATGGGGCACCGGGCACATAACACTTGCACATGGAGAGCCGTGAGAGGTGCCTTCTTTCCCCAGATTTCCTGAGAAGGAAAGATCATTATGAATTTGGACCCTACACAACCAGTTTGGTGTTGTGGTTAAGTGCGTGGACTCTAATCTGGGAGAACCGGGTTTGATTCCCCACTCCTCCACTTGCACCTGGCTGGATGACCTTGGGCAAGCCATAGTTCTGGCAGAGCTGTTCTTGAAAAAGAGCAGTTTCTGTCAGAGCTCTCACGTACTTCACAGGGTGTCTGTTGGGGCGGAGGTGAAGGGAAAGGAGTTTGTAAGCCGCTCTGAGGCTCCTTTGGATAGTGAAGAGAGGGGTAGAAATCCAATCTCCTCTTCTTTATGTATCTGTGCATGTTGCACTGGAGTCGTGTGTTGCATACATTCCGAGAAAGAGGCAGGCAGGCACCCTTCTGTTTCTCCACTGTAACACTGAGTCTCCAGCTGGGTGCCTGTGTGAATAAAGAGAATGACCCTGCTCCAGGCCTGCAGGATTATTTCTTCGCGTCTGTTGCAACGACGTTGTGCATTTGCATTTACAACAATCTGACAATGAAATCTGTAAATGTGCTGTAGAATGAAGGTAATTAGAGCGGAGGCTTTTGCAGGTCTACTGATCGGGATCGCTGAGACTGATGTGCAGCAGATCCTACTATGGATGCATCTCCAGATCTGCCCCCAGAGATCAAAAACTCTGCCCCATGGCTAATGCTCCCTTTAAGCTGTAGAGTCCTGTGAGCAAAAATCCTACTTTTTGAGCTCCTGGCATTAAAGCTGTGAGCGAGCGATTGGGCTACTGCATAAATTAGTTTGCTCTGGAGCCCTCCTTCCTGAGCGGAGACAAAAATGTGTGAGCCGGAGGCTAAAAGACTGTGAGCTAGCTCACACTAACTCAGCTTAGAGGGAACACTGCGGGCCCTGGCTCTCACTGGTTTCAGGGTAGCGGCTTTTCTCTAGTCTTTCTGCTGAACGGAGAGCCTGAACTAGCGTTCACGACTTGAGAGCGCGCACAGAAGACATTGCACAGGCTGACCAGTTAGCTTACAGCAAGTTTAAGTGCAGGGCATAGACAGTGGAAGTCTGTGCAGCTCATGGTGTTGCTTCGACAGGGTGGCAGAGTCTACGGAAGAAGTGACACCACTCCGGCCCCCTCGCCTGATTCGCGAAGACGGCATCATCAGGCCCTACGACAGAGGAGAAGCCGAGGGGTACGATTTATTTGAGGTACGTCCTGATGTATTCTCGCCTCTCCCCCCCCCCTTTAGGGGAAAGAGAGCATAGTAGCATCCCAGATACTTTTGCACGGTGCATTGGCTAGGCTTCTGGTGGCGAAGCGTTTTTGAATTTGAATCTTATTTATTTATCTTTTTTTAAAATAAGTACCCGAGGGTACACTTTTATTATTTTTTTCTATTATATACTACAGACATACAAACATACATACAAACAACCCCCAACTACCCCCCCACAACATATAACATATAACAAGAGACTTTATCATTTCTTCTGCTTATTAAATTTCTAAATTCATTATCTATTTTACTAAGCTTATCTTTTCTGCGTTCTCAAATTACTACATTTATCTATCAGTTGCATTTACATTATGCCAATCGTAGAAGCTCTTCCAAGTTTTTTGAAAAGTCCATTCTGTGCCGGCTCTCATCTCAAGTGTCAGTTTGCCATTTTCCGCCGTTTCAAATAGCTTGTTCGCGTACTCTTGTTTAGTTGGTATTTCCATTATTTCCCGATATTTGGCATATACTATTCTTGCAGCTGTCGACATATGAACTATCAAATACCTATCTGCTTTATCAAAGTGTTTCGGAAATATATTCAATAACAGTATGAAGGAGTAAACGGGATATTAGTTCTTATTATTTTTTCCAGTATCTCATGAATCCATCTCCATTATCTCTTTGTAACATCAGATAGTTTTATATTTTTCCGCCAAATCTATTTATTTATTTATCAATCACATTTACACCCCACCCTCCCTGCAATGCAGGCTCAGGGCAGCTCACCGATCAGTGCATAAAATACAGTTAAACAACATAAAATCCATACAAGAACAATTCCATTATTAAAACAGCTTCATCAAGTGCTGAAGATAGTTATTCAAGATGGCTTATTTCGGTGTACCTTCTAAGAATCGATCTGCTCAAGCTCTTCCTGCGGCACAGGCTAGCTGTTAGAGACCAAGGGCCAGGGCACTATAGATGTGGCGGCTCCCTAGCTAAATGCCTGGCGGAAGAGCTCTGTCTCGCAGGCCCTGCAGAACTGTTAAAGGTCCCGCAGGGCCCTGATCTCTTCCGGGAGCTCATTCCACCAGGATGGGGCCGCCACTGAGAAAGCCCCGGCCCTGGTAGAAGCAAGCCTGGCATATGTGTGATATAGATGTTTTGTCCACAATTTCCATCGCGATGGGATCTTGTTTGCAAACATTTGTTCTGAGAAGGACGTCTTATTACACCTCCCTTTCGGTTTTGTACGTAACGTCCACTCCGGGCCCAGCAACTGGTGGGCTCCCCCTGATGGGTACATCTCTGTGTTTTTTTTTCCTGCCTGCCACCTTCCTGTCAGTTTTCTGCAGCCCATCTTCAGTTTCTAATCCGTTTCTCTTTTCTCTCTCCCTCTCCCTCTCTCTCTCCCCGCCATGCCTTCGCAGCAAGAACTGGATTAGGAGTCTGCCGCTTCTGTCCTCTTTTCCCGATTGTGTTTCAGCACCTTGATCTGCTATGGTTTCTCTCCCCCCACCCGCTCCTTAGCATTAAGGGCATGGTTTCATTAGTCCATTTCATTCAGTGTCTTCCCCCAGAGCCTTTAGCTGTCACTGATACAGAGTTCAAAATTGCCTGTCTTCTATAATACTATATAAAAGCCAAGGCGTGCTGGCGACGACTCACCTACTCCCCCATTGGCCACTGGGGAAGCTGCCTTGGCGTCCTATTGGCCTGTCCCACTGGCTGCTCCATTCTTACACACACCCCTTTTGACACATTGTACACTGGGAGTTGTAGTTCTCAGCTGGCCTTACTGCAGCCATAGCAAAGGGAATTAGAACTACAGCTCCCAAGTTGGGAGTCCCAAGAGGCTGTGGGGCATTAGCAGGGGGTCAGATGAAGTGTTAATCAGTGAAACTGTTAAATTGGTGGTTGGGGGAAAGGGAAGGCCCGGATATCTCCCCGAATTACAGTTGATCTCCTGACTACAGAGATCAGTTCCCATGGAGAAAATGGTTGCTTTGGAAGGTGAGCTCTATGGCAATATGCCTCACTGCAGCCCGCAGCAAAATGACTTGAGGACAGCCCTGCCTTATAGCGAAGCAGAAGGAAATAGGCACGGTTCTCCTCCCTCTATTTCCCCCGCCCCTCCACCGCCTCACCAGCCACAGCCGGGACACTCGCATGGAGCCCCTTTCCAGAGCTCGTTGTATTTCTTCCCACAACGGGCCTTACTCCTAGTTTCAAATAACTTGGGGGGGATTTTTTTTTTTAATCAGGTTAGCAACACAGGAAGAGAGCTCTGTTTTACATTGTGTTAATGTGCCAATTCTTGTACACTTCAAACCAAAGAAATATCGACGGCAGCGCACGCCAGCTGCTCTTGGGTGAGGTGGGGGGGACAGACGGACACACGAGGTGTGTTTTGAATAAATAAATGGGGGTAACATTTTTTATTGTACAACTATAAAGCAGATAGCACAGTCTCACCTTCCGACAAGCACAGTTCCATGCTGCCGTCTCGAGGCCGTGGCTAGAACTTCTCCATACTCCGTTCAGATCAAAGATGCTGGTGTCTGTGTAGGGCTCTGCGCATGAGGCGCTGCGTTTCCCCTTTTATTCTGCCCTTCCCTGGTAGGGGAAACTGATTGTAATCTCATGGGCCTGACTGGTCGCAACGCCTTCCTTACCGCGTAGAGGCTCATGGGGGCAAATAGAGGGTGGTCTGGAAGGGTGTTAGAGCTGAGTGTGGGTATCCCAGTGTGTGCCCCGTTGTGTGGGGCACAGTCAAAGCACAGAGGGGGGGAGGCTGGGGGCTTGGCCCCTTCTTTCGGCGTCATGTTTCTGAGGGCCATGCTCGTGTGTTCCCAGTAATCTCCTCCTGAATGTGGATTTTCTCATCGGGGGAACCCTCAAACCAGAAACGTGTGGACGGATTGAGATCTACGGATGGTAGTCAAATCAGACTTGTACCGGAGTGCCTGTTGGACAGATTCTCATGGCAGATCACGTAGTGGGGCCTTGATGGTCTGTCTGTCTGTCTATCCATCATCTATCTATCTCATCTATCTCATCTATTTTATCTATCTCATCTATCTTATCTCTTACCTATCTAATCTCTCTTATCTATCTTATCTCTTATCTATCTATCGTATCTACCATCTGTCTGTCTATCTATCTTATCTATCTCTTATCTATCGTATCTGTCTGTCTACCTTATCTATCTGTCTTTTATCTATCTTATCTTTTATGTATCTTATATATTGAGGACATTTGCTTGCTGCTTCTCCAGATACCTGCCCGAGGCAGCAGCCAACTAAAGAAGGAAACAAAAGCAACCAGGACAAATAAAAACTTAAGTCCATGCAACAAATAAGCTAGAGTACAAAAGCACACAAGACAAACAGAGCAGCCCTAACCGGCAGGGATCAAGCAGTCTGCAGGCTGGGAGTGGATATAAAACGGCTATTGAAACTTGGCTTGAAGAGAGAATTGTTTTGTGTCTAAAGGAAAGGGGAGGCAGGTGCCCGTTGGGCCTCAAGGGGGTGGGGGGAGGGCTTTGCAAAGCATCCCCACTTACTGAGGCCTGTCTGGGAATGCGACCTTCTCACCGCAGCGTGCCGGGATACATACAGAGAGCAGGGCTTGATTGGATCTTAACCGGTGACCTGGACAATATGGGGGGAAGGACCCCTGGCCCCCAAAACATTGGGGGACCTTATTGGTAAGAACCAGCAGTTTGGATTTCTTCAAGGAGAGGCTGGACGAATATTGGTCAGGGATGCTCTAGGCTGGTCCTGCATTGGGACAGAGGGTTGGGCTAGATGGTCTCTACGGCCCCTTCCCACTCTGTGATTCTCTGTAAACACACAGGCACCCAATGAGCATCTTTCAGTGCCGGGAGATACATTCTGTATCCATCCCATGACAATCAACGTGCTCCCTCATTATGGTCCAGCTTGATATATTAGTATGTGTTGCATAAAGTTGTTGTTAATACTGTAGCTTGTTTTAGGGTATGGTAGTAGCGAGAATCCAGGTAGTATCCTGGCCTGGATGGCCCAGGCTAGCCCGATCTTGTCAGATCTTGGAAACTGAGCAGGGTCGGCCCCGGTGAGTACTTGGATGGGAGACCACCCAGGAAGCCCAGGGTTGCTACGCAGAGGCAGGCGATGGCAAACCCACCTCTGAATGTCTCTCGCCTTGACCTGGATGTTCCCAGGCTAGCCCAGTCTCATCAGATCTCGGAAGCTGAGCAGGGTCGGCCCCGGTCAGTCCTTGGATGGGAGACCACCAAGGAAGCCCAGGGTTGCTACGCAGAGGCAGGCAATGGCAAACCCACCTCTGTTTGTCTGTTGCCTTGAAAACCCTACAGGGTCGCCGTAGGTCAGCGGTGACTTGCTGGAACTTTCCACCAACAAGACCAAGAATGATTTTTGTAGGTAGGTTTATTCCTTCTGAAAAGTAACCCCCCGATGCCTTGATACTCAAAAGCAACATTTTTGGTTTTTGTTCAGCAATTATATTGTACTTTATTGATTAAAGAGGGAGGAAAGGTGTTCGGAGACAGTGAATCTTTATTGTATCGAACACGTTGTGAGAACTTTTTGTAGTTATCCGGGGGGAGGTAGCCGAAATATCCCTGCCCTGACTTTGAACAGTGTCCCTGTTAGAATTTGCTAAGTGTGAGAAATGCCCGGTGAGCTTTGCCGGCGAACACAAAAATTAATCTTACGCAGCTCCTTTCAAGACAGGATTACTGTACCTGTCTGCTCTTGTACTCCTGAGTTGCTCTTGCTCAGAAATTGGCTGGAGAGGGTTCGTCCTCCTGGGAAATCTCTCCCCCCCCCCCCTTTGAAAACAGCACAACTAAGAATGTAGCTTATCTTTTTCCAAGTGGTGTAGCGATTTCAGATGTATTTGTAATAAATCGTCGCAGAAGCTCAGCGCAGATGTAACGCCATGCATTTTTTAAAATTGGTTTTAATTCATTTGAGCCTTTTAAAAAAAAAGAAGAAGTGAGATTTGTTAATGGGGGTAGGGGAGGCTACTTTTCTTTCTTTGTGTAAGGGTGGAGTTTTGAGTAAGGACACGTAGCCCTTCAGCTAGTCATGCTCATCTTTTCCCATTCTTAGGTTCATTGTTCTCACCCCAAACCTGGGGGGGGGGGGCTTTTGCCATTTTTGTACTTGTGGGCAAGCCGTTTCCCTGAATGTCTTCAGGAGGGACCGTGGCTCAGTGGTAGAGCATCTGCTTGGCACGCAGAAGGGTCCCCGTTTCAATCCTCTGCACCTCCCAGTTAAAGGATCTGGCAGTAGGTGAGGTGAAAGGCCTCCACCGGAGTCTCTGGAGAGCTGCTGCCAGTCTGAGTACATGATACGGAACCTGATGGACCAAGGGTCTGAGTCAGTATCAGGCAGCTTCATGGGTTCGTGTGGCTCAGTGGTAGAGCCTCTGCTTGGCATGCAGAAGGTCCCAGGTTCAGTCCCCGGCATCTCCAGTTAAGAAGGACCAGGCAGTAGGTGATGTGAAATATCTCTGCCTGAGGCCCTGGAGAACAGCTGCCAGTCTGAGTGGGCAGCAGTGAACTTGATGGTCTGACTCAGTATCGGGTGGCGTCATGAACTTCACGTGTTCAGTTACTGGATAGTGATTTCCGGCCAGCCTTGATAATAATAAACTCTTCATTCATAAAACCAAATTATTATCGGCCTGCTTCCCACCGTCCCGTTACAAGCCTTAAAATTTTGAAATGGGTTCATACATCAGTACCGTGCTGGATGGGTTAGGGTGACAAAAAGCTACTTGGGAAGATGAGAGCTCTTTCCACACCCTGTTGTCAGACAGTGCCTTGCAGGATGGATTGTAACGTAGATATCCTCCACCTAGGAGCCCATGTGGGCCCACCACGGGCCCCCCCACGTCTGAGGAAGGGTCCTCAGGTTTGTTCTGACCATCTGCACATGCAGCAAGAAGCCCCAACACTGTGCACAGACCAGAATAGGCACGTATGGAACCTGTGTCTTCCGTGACCCAGTGGCCAGTGTGCGTTACGTGGTTCTAGCCTCTGTGAGAGCGTGGGATAGTGGTTAGTGTCAGGCTAGGATACGGAGGACCTGGGCTCCAACCCCCTAATCCACCACGAAACTCACAAGGTGGCCTTGGTCTTGTCACTCTCTCTCAGCCTCACCTACCTCACAGTGTTGTCGTGATGATCAGGGCTATTTTTGGGCAGGAACGCACAGGAACGGAGTTCTGGCTGGCTTCAGAGTTGGCCACGCCCACTACAGCCAAAACCTCTGCGTGCATGGCGACAGAGGGAAGGCCTAGAGAGCAAAAAAAAAAAACCCTGTGACTCCAAGGGGGGCGGGCCAGGGGGGCCTGGAAGGATCAGGGAGGCATTTAAATGCCTCCCCGTGCCTTCCCCAGCCTGTCGAAGGGCCGGCTTGCCCAGGCTTCCTGCAGCCACGGAGCACCCAGGCAAGCCAAGGGTAGGCATGGGATGTGGCCTAATATGCTAATGAGTTCATGTTGGGCGTGGCCTGTTATGCTAATGAGTTCCTGCTGGGCTTTTTCTACAAAAAAAGGCCTGGTGATGATCAAAAGGGGAAGGAAAAACTATCTACGCTTCCCTGAGCTCCTTGGGAGAAGATGGAGGAGGAGAAAGAGTGGGAGTGGGATTTATACCCTGCCCTTCACTTGGAGTCTCCGAGTGGCTCACCATCTCCTTCCTTTCCCCACCACAGACACCCTGTGAGG